GATTTAAATACATTGTTATTGTGTAATCCTGGATTATAAAATTAAAATATATATAGTATATATTTAGATTATATTCAATATAATTTTTGTTCATACCATGTTAACCTCTGAGATGGCATCAAAGCTGGCTATAGTCAGGTCCATGCCCACATGCAGGGGCTCTCCCCCGAAATTGGGCCTTAAACGTATATCGTAGCCCTGGAGTATCTTTGATATTGTCTGTGTAACATTTTCCAGGCGGCCAGCAAGCATATCTTTGCGACTGCATCTGAAAGTATAATTTCGATTTTAGCCAAATTGATTTAATTTAAAACAAAGTAGAGATATTTGCACATACCGAACTAGTTGGGGCTGGGCGCCCAGCAATATCAGTAGTATCGCCAGACTATAGTTCACTCCGAGGCAGGTGAAACGAGCCAGATTGGCCACCTTTGCTTGTGTCATTGTTCGAACTCAACCTCAACTCGTTGGCATTGAATGCGCCGGCGTTTCCAGTTTTCCTTCTCCTCTCATCGCGACAGCAAAACGAAGGCATTGGCTATCGTTCCTCTGTCATGATGATGTTCTTCAGCAGCTGTTGTTTTCAATTAAAAATTATAAAAAATTAATGTGTATTATATATAGATCAGCTGAGCGGACAATTATGACTGAGAACCGAATCAGTGAATTTGTCTAAAGATATTTTAAACATATAATTTTATATACCCCTGCAGTGTATTCTAATTTCAGTCAGAGTCTCGAAACTAAGTGAAATAATCATTTCCGACCCTATAAATCATATATATTCTTGATCAGCACGATCAGCCGAGTCATTCTAGTCATCTCAGAGAGAAAAAAAAATTTAAGAATTTTTGCATAATTTTATAAGGGGTTACATCGCTAAAATTATCAAAAAAAATTATAAAAAATTTAAATTGATGTATTTCTTAAATTGAGTATGCAGATTTGTTAACCTAATAAAAACGAGCACAGAACAGCTTACCGAATTAAAATTAAGGCTTTTTTAGCTAAGTTATGAGATTTTAAAACTTTGATTTGCCAATAAAAATGTTTGTTTAAATATACTTATATTAAAATAAAAATGGATATCTTAAAAATTTCCTGAATAAGAAATACAAAATCTGACTTTAATTACAGGATATAACACTTAAATCTTCATTGCAATATTTCCGAAACACTATATTCGTGTGTTAGACAGCCAGACTTCTCCCAAAACTTGACACTTTTCTCTCAAAGGATACACTTAGGACTTGTCTTATACACTGTAGACGAATTTTTCAATCCACTCACTTGTGTATCCTTAGGTCAGACGACCCAATGTTGCATTGATTTTATGCAATACAACGAAATAATTTGGTTTGTTTACTTGGCATTTGTGTGTGCTCGTGCCTTTGTGATTCGTGCTCGTGCTTCGTGCTTCCGTGCTTGCCTGCTTTTCCCTTCCATACACAGATGCTGTGCTGTGTGCTGCGCACTTGTGATGCTTGCTGCTGCTGCTGCTGGGCTGCCAAAAAGCATATTTGCGAATCAGGCATGCAAGTGCACAATTAAAATAATTGCTATATGTGTATACACCATGTAGGGGGTGGTAGAAGTGGCGGCTGTGGCAGAAAGTGACTTCAAGTGACTTTTAAGTCGTTGTGTCCTTAGAGTCCCTGCCTGACAGAGTTCTACCCTTTCTCCAAGGGTTCTTTTTTTCTTCTTTTTGAGTCTCTCATTGAACGAATTTCCTTGGAGACCTAGATTCGATTTTCGGTGACAAGGGGGATTTCTGGCACAAATGCATGTCGAAGATTTAGTCAATCAAAAAAAAAAGAGCAAGCAACTTAATTTTGTCATTTCGCTGGCCATTTTTTTTTTTGTTTTTCATGTGCTTTGAAATTGGAACTCGCACACAGACTTGAGACACATTGTCAAGTCAAATCACTTGTCCCGCTCCCGTTTCCGTTTCCCGCTTTCGTTCCCGTTCCCGTTCTCAGACAAACATGCCCCCAGATCCGCCTTCGCACCTTGTTTCCTCGTCTATATCACTATTTTCGGGTCTACGCTCAACCTCGGACTGCTGTGTCTATCTTATGAATGATGGCACACAGGGATGCTGCTGCCTATGCAGGAGCTGCTCGTACTTGGTTTCGGGTGCCTTCGTGTTTGGTTTTAGCTTCGGTTCTTACTTCGGCTTTAGTTTCGGCTTCGGTTTCAGCTTCGGCTGTGACTTCGGGTTGACCCGCATTGCGCATCCGTCCTGTTGGCCATGTTGCATGTGCTTGCCGTTAAAAGCTTTCGGCAGGCAGAGACATCTATTGGTGTTGGTTGGTAATAATTATTTTTAAAATTTGTACTTTATTTTGTTTATTTTTAATAAATTAAATAGAAATGCATATTCCATTTCAAAATTTGTACAATTGTGTTGTGTTAACTGTTTGCAAGTCTCACAATCATTCGAATGCATTTGTTTCTAAGGAATAAATTTATTTATTATTGTCTTATTTTTGATCAAATATGTTATGCTTGACTTGAATTATTTAATTAATTAAACACGTTTTATGTATTTTAAATCATGGAAATATAGAGCAGGCCAGAAATATATTATACACAACTAATGCTGACATCAGAAATGTTTTCTAACGATCTCTGGCATGATCTTCAATGGCTTATATGGGTGGGAATTATTGCGCAATGTAAATATTTTTAAAAAATTACAGAAAATTATGATAATGGAATGATGTTATTAATGTATATGTGTAAGTGTGTTTAAAGAGTCCCTTTGTCATAAGTGAATATTAAGAAAATACACTCAATAATTTACTAAAGTTTATTAGGGGTCTCAATAATCAATCTTTGTTTTAGCAAAATATATATTCGTTAAGAATTTAATTTAAGCAAATGCATAAATGAAACCAAAAACCGACAAATAATTGATCAACACATAACTAGCAGGTAATTGGATCACATTTTCACCAGGCCACGTCATCAATAAACGGCTTGTACACAGTGTCTTAGAGGGGTTACCACTCTGTGGAAGCTAAAACTGGTTGGGAATCATTGGGCAGTGTGCGCGGCATATGCATTTATGCTCAGAGTCCACTTTGTGGGTTTTGGAGTTTTTGAAAAAATTATAGAAAATTATGATAAGATAAGCTCTGCAAGGCTATCAGCTAGCTTCCTTATCAGGGAATAATCTACAAGTAACTTTTAAAATTTCAGGGAGTATCTGAGCAAAGATTATTATGTTTTTTATCTCTGAAAAATGTAATCTTAAAATAAAAATATAAATCAATTATTAATCAACAATTATTAATGCTGAATGACATCATTAATCGGGCGTTGGAATTGTTAACCTGAATGACATGGCTGTGAATACTTTAATATCCTGCGCTTCCCTTTTGTTTTTGTTTTTTTATAGCCTTCAGTGTTCATGGACAACGTACAGGATCTGGATTTCAGTGCAACGAAGCGAAAGGTTTGCTAAATTTTTCTAAAAAGGAGGTAATTCATGGTTTGCGCATGCCAACTGCCAGCTACGCCAGCGGCTACAGAGGCTGCATTATGCGACTTGTTAGCATTGAATGCAACGCGGGACACAGTTTGGCATCAGAGCTAACCATAAGCACTGAAAGCGATGGTCAGACCTTACGGTGTTCGCATATTATAATCTGGAAAATAAATTCAAGCCTTCCTAAGGATTCGAAATGGTTCCGCCATCAATTCTTCGCCTGTTTTCCGGGTAAGTTTTCCTATTATTATTTTTGTTTTTCAAAAAAATAGAAAAGGCGCCCCTGGACCTCTATTGTTTGCCATTCAAAATCTCTCACTTGGTATTCATGTCAAGGACCATAATTGTTTGTTAAATAATTACACACCTAGCCGGAGCTGTGGGGATATTTCGTAATTATTTAACACTTAATGCCGCGCGGTATTTTGTAATTTTTTATTTAGTTTCTAAAAAGCCAAAGGCAGATGTGGAACGATGTACCAGTTTTTGGGGGGTTCTTTATTATGGATGCATCCCATGTACATATAACTTTTTTAGCAAGTCAAGCAGATTTTTGGCTTGACTCCTGGCTTTACACATGCGGCAAATCACAAGCACAAGCATCAGCATCAGCATCGGCGTCGGCGTCAAGTGGAAAATGGGAAATGGAAAATGTAGGCTGACGAGACTTGGCCCTCTTTTTTTATTTAGCATGTGCCGGGGGGACAATCAATTAAAGTGGATTATCATTCGATTGATTTGGTACGTCACGGTGGCTACACTGTACAATCTACACATGAGCTTATTTATTATTAGGAATTAAATGCATAATGCATATGTTTTAGAATTCTTCAATTGGAAGACTATATAGGGTTTTATCTATTCTATTTTAGAACATTCCATAGTTTTAAGACCTCTATCTGAGAGGGAGCCATCGCTGAGGGTTAAAATTATTTGCAAAATCTAAAATATTTAAGATCTCAAAGCCATTTTTGAAAAGTGTTTTGAACTAAAACATTCTTAGCCGCTTCTTTAAAAAAAATAACCCGTTAGTGGCTTGAAATTTATTTAAAAAGAGTCTATATGTAGGAAATTAAGTAATTCAGTTCTGAGTTGTTTTTGAAGTCATAAAAGGAAGCACTTAGGGACTTTATATTTATTCCTAATCAACAACATAGAAAGCTTTAAAAACGAAACAATTGTGTTCCCGATTCCCCCTATTAGATGTTATATATCCCTGTGTATTTTGGACTGCCACCTTAGCCATGGCATACCAGCTCTAAACTCATCGGTGGTGCGTTCTGTGGAACCTTCAGGCCAGACACAGACCTCAATCCTCCCGAAAATGCCAAATATAACCAGTGAGTTCAGTGCAAGCAGAATTTACGAGTCCTTTCGCGTATTGCCACCGTCCTTGCAACAGCTAACGAGCAGTCGACATCGCAGTCAGAAAAGTGTTAGTTACTTTGCCGAGAATATGGGAACAGAAGCTGGAGCAGAAGCTCCCGGAGGAGGAGGAGCTCCCCGTACGGCCTCTGCTGACATGCTGAGTCGGAATATATCCATAATTCTGGAAAATTTACTCAAACGCTATGAACAGTCACAGCTACCCACCCATGGCCAGGGTATGCCGACGGTGGTGCAAACGAATATACTTATACGTAGCATGGGACCTGTCTCTGAATTGGATATGGAGTACTCAATGGATTGCTACTTCCGGCAGTATTGGCGGGACAAAAGGCTGAGCTTTAAGGGACCCATCAAGAGCCTGTCGCTGAGCATTAAGATGCTGGATAAAATCTGGCGACCAGACACGTATTTCTACAATGGCAAGCATTCGCATATACACACCATAACGGTGCCCAATAAGCTCCTTCGACTGGACCAAAATGGAGGAATCCTGTATTCCATGCGGTTGACCATTAAGGCCACTTGTCCCATGGAACTGAAGAACTTTCCCATGGACAGGCAATCCTGCCCTCTGGTAATCGGTAGTTGTAAGTATTTACCTTTCGCATATAGAGTTCATCATTTTAAGAAGTATCTAAAATTTAGACGGTTATACTAACCAGCAGTTAGTCTACGAGTGGAAGAACCAAGATGATGCTGTGTCCTTTGTCCCAGGAATGACCCTAAATCAATTTGATCTTATTAGCATGATGTATCGCAATTTTACATCAAGGCGTCGCGAGGGTGACTTTTCGGTCTTGCATGTTGCCTTTAATCTTAAAAGACACACTGGATACTTTCTTATACAGGTGATTATGGGGCTAACCCTTAACTCTATATGGTATATACTTGCAGGTACTCTCACAAGACTAAGACATTAAAGAGAGAGGAGATGGACTCTCTTCGTTCTCTTCTCCAATGATCTCTTAGAGTACAGCTTAAATGAAATCTCTGTTTGTACACTGCAGGCAAGGCTTGGACAGAGAGACAGAGAGAGAGAGAGAGAGAGAGGGAGATCTATCCGGAAGCTGTTCTCAGAAGGCCCAAACGATAGCTCTGCACGCTCTGCTTAATATTATCTTATGTCTCATTTAGGTCTATGTACCATGCATACTGATAGTGGTCCTCTCCTGGGTCTCATTTTGGATACATCGCGAAGCCACCAGCGACCGAGTGGGTCTCTGCGTAACCGCCGTACTCACTCTATCCACAATTAGCTTGGACTCGCGAACCGATCTGCCAAAGGTCAAATATGCCACGGCCCTTGATTGGTTTCTATTGATGAGCTTTTTGTATTGCATTGCCACCCTGCTGGAGTTTGCCGGTGTCCATTACTTCACCAAGCTGGGCAGTGGCGAGATACCCAAGTTGGAGGAACAATGGGAGGATATTTGTGCAGCAAACAATCCATCGCCGGAATATGTGGCTGAGGTGGAAGTGGACCAGGCGGCATCGGCTGAAGAGGATGATGGAAGTGATGCTACGGATAATTATGAAAACGATGAGGTGGCCAGTGAGTCCATTAATTCGAGAAATGAAATCTGTTCTTGTGGCCAGCATGATGGCCTTGGATTAGAGGATACCATGGCCACTGGGGGTTTTCGTAAGCGTGCCGCTCTCATTGGTCCCTTGTTTAATGTGAGTGAACATGATAGAGACAATGCCTTAATTGTTGCTCGTTATCCAGTATATCCTTGACAGGACCCATCAGCATACATATATCCAAAGACATCGTCACATGCCTCCACGATGGAGCGCACCACCCAAACGGAGCCGCCGGTGGTATCACGCATGCGACAGATTTGGCTTTGCCTCAAAAGCGATGACAACTTCCGGAAACAGAGGGAACGGGACGCGGCAGCGGAGAAGAGTGGCCAAGGACGCGGCGCCAGTTATGTGAATAGCGTCTCCCTAATCGACCGCGTTGCTCGCATAGCCTTCCCCATGTCCTTTGCTTTCTTCAATCTCTTGTATTGGCTGGCTTACGGGATGTATAAAAAGGAGTTCTCATGGTCTAGCATAAAGTCATAGATCTGTAGCTATATACTATATCCATATTATTAATCAGCATTAATCAGGCGAGCCCATATAGACATTATACGTCTCTGTCCGTGTGTTTGTAGGCGTTTCAAAAGATCACATAAAAATATTGGTGCTGTCCTTATAGGGATGTATAATATTCAAATTAAAAAAAAAAAAAGGAAAGGCCATTTGGGTATTCTATTGTCGGGGATACTCCGACTTTACTCAACTTTATGGATAATATAACCAAATATATTATATTATTATACTGTATACAAAAGCTATCAAAATGTTGAAAAATAAACCAAAAAGGCATTAATCATTTTCGGAATTTATTTAAATTTTTTTGAATAACTAAAAAGTTTTAATTTTTGTATAATTTTTCTCAGAAAGAGCGCCATCTATTTTGAATCGGATGTTTGTTTAAAAAGCACGCTCTCTGGCACATGTGGCAGCGCTATCGATATTATTGAAGCTCATATCGATAGGCATTTTCATTGATGATAAATGTTTAAATACTTCTACGGTTAAAATCACGAATTCTTATAATAATCGAATATTCAACCCATTCCAACTAATTAGCTTTAATTATCGGAATTTGATTACCCGTCAATCAATACCAAAACAAAAAACAGCTGTTTCCGCCAAAAAAAAAACGCGTTAAGTTCAAACCACTTTCCCACATTTTTGTTCACCTGCAATTAGTATTTTCTAGTATATTACCTAGGCCAAAATAACAATCGATTACTTTGGTTGATCGAAATATCGATAGACTCGCATTATTTTGTTATATTCTGACACATATTTTAACTAAGCAATCGGCGACATCAGCATCTACAGTAACAATTTCTCGACGAATACGTAAACTCAGGTTGGGAGATTCGCCGCTCCTCTTAGAATCGATCATTAAACAATAAAGAAACGGTGACCTGAGTACCAACAACAGGCTGCATGCTGAACGTGCCCATCGAATTATTTCACGCGCAAAACGTTTTTTTTTTGTGCCAGCCACAGCCGCACATTCTACGAAATTCGGCTCGTTCCGGCGTAATTACTCGGAATTCCACATCTCAAGCGAATTCCTTGCCAGCGGCAGGGACAACTGTCTCGCCAGTAAGTGTGGCAGGCAAGTCAGCGATCAGAACGATCCACGCACATCGTCGGACTCGAGAATCACAGAGGGAAGAAGAAGACGCAGCAGCAGTAGAAGCAGCAAAAGCAGAAGAGTGACCGCGAGGTGAGGCGGGGAAGCAGCAGTAGCAACCTTGGGAGAAGAGGCAACGCAGGCGGCGCCATGAGCGTGGACACGTATGCGCCCAGCTCGGCGCTATCTTTCCTGGACATGGACGACACCGAGTTAATGCCAGGAGCAGATACACAGCCGACGCAGTACGATTATCGTGACTTTACCATGCCGTCCAATTCGCAGAGTCAGCAGGGCGACCAGCAGCAGCTGGACCTGCACGTGAGTAGCCTCTCCCCATATTCGTACGTTCCTAGTCTTATTCCCTTACCCCTTGCCACAGTCTCGCGGCCAAACGGGAGGCGGTGGGGACTCACATCCGCGCCTGGCCAGCATCACCAACGATTTGGCCGACTTGCAGTTTGAGGAGGAGGACGACGACGCCGCCAGTTCGTATGTAAAGGAGCTACCAGCGCATGCGTGCAAATACTGTGGCATCCATGACCCAGCCACAGTGGTGATGTGCAACAATTGCAAAAAGTGGTTCTGCAACGGACGGGGCAGCACCTCTGGTTCGCATATTATCAACCATTTGGTGCGGGCGAAGCATCGCGAGGTAACCCTGCACGCCGACGGACCCCTAGGCGAGACCATACTCGAATGCTATTCGTGCGGCGTGCGGAATGTTTTCGTGCTGGGCTTCATCCCGGCCAAGGCAGACTCTGTGGTGGTGTTGCTCTGCCGCCAGCCGTGTGCCGCCCAGAATTCGCTGAAGGACATGAACTGGGATCAGGAGCAGTGGAAGCCACTAATTGCCGATCGTTGCTTCCTGCCATGGCTGGTGAAGCAGCCGAGCGAACAGGGCCAGTTGCGGGCACGGCAAATCTCGGCAGCCCAGATCAACAAGCTGGAGGAACTGTGGAAGGAGAATATCGAGGCCACGTTCCAAGATCTGGAGAAGCCGGGCATTGACTCGGAGCCGGCGCAGGTGCTGTTGCGTTACAAGGACGGTTATCAGTACGAGAAGACTTTCGGGCCGCTGGTCGACCTCGAGGCTGACTACGACAAGAAACTGAAGGAGTCTGCCACCCAGGAGAACATCGAGGTGCGGTGGGACGTGGGCCTGAACAAGAAGACCATTGCCTACTTTACGCTGGCCAAGACCGACTCGGATATGAAACTGATGCATGGTGACGAGCTGCGGCTGCGCTACGTCGGTGAGCTACATAGTCCGTGGAGCGAGACCGGCCAGCTAATCAAGGTGCCGGACAACTTTGGCGACGATGTCGGCCTGGAGTTGAAGTCCTCCTCCAACGCGCCGGTCAAGTGCACCAGCAACTTCTCCGTGGATTTTATCTGGAAGTACACCTCCTTCGATCGGATGACCCGCGCCCTGAGCAACTTTGCCATGGACCGCAACTCGGTGTCGAACTACATCTACTCGCGCCTGCTGGGTCACGGCCGTGCCGATGCCAACGACGAGGTGCTGTTTCGCGGTCCGCAGCCTAAGCTGTATAGCGCACCGCATCTGCCGGATCTGAATCGCAGCCAGGTGTATGCCGTGAAGCATGCCCTGCAGCGTCCCCTGTCCCTCATCCAGGGACCGCCGGGCACGGGCAAGACGGTGACCTCGGCCACAATAGTCTACCAGCTGGTAAAGCAGCATGGGGGCACTGTGCTAGTGTGCGCCCCCAGTAACACGGCCGTCGACCAGCTCACGGAGAAGATCCATCGGACAAACCTGAAGGTGGTGCGGGTATGCGCCAAGAGCCGCGAGGCCATCGACAGTCCGGTAAGTTTCCTCGCCTTACATAACCAGATCCGCAACATGGAGACCAACACGGAGCTGAAGAAGCTGCAGCAGCTCAAGGACGAGACCGGAGAGCTTAGTTCCGCGGACGAGAAGCGCTATCGCAGTCTAAAGCGTGGTGCGGAGAACCAGCTGCTGGAGGCCGCCGATGTCATCTGCTGCACGTGCGTAGGCGCTGGAGATGGGCGGTTGTCACGGATCAAGTTCACCTCTATCCTCATCGACGAATCGATGCAGTCCACGGAGCCAGAGTGCATGGTACCGGTGGTGCTGGGAGCCAAGCAGCTAATCCTTGTCGGCGATCACTGTCAGCTGGGTCCGGTGGTCATGTGCAAGAAAGCCGCTCGCGCCGGCCTCTCGCAGAGTCTGTTCGAGCGCCTGGTCGTTCTGGGCATCCGTCCGTTCCGCCTGGAGGTGCAGTACCGCATGCATCCGGAGTTATCCCAGTTCCCGTCCAACTTCTTCTACGAGGGCTCACTGCAGAACGGCGTCTGCGCCGAGGATCGACGTCTTAAACTGGACTTTCCGTGGCCGCAGCCGGAGCGACCTATGTTTTTCCTGGTTACCCAGGGCCAGGAGGAAATCGCAGGCTCCGGCACCTCGTTTCTTAATCGTACCGAGGCGGCCAATGTGGAGAAGATCACAACGCGCTTCCTTAAGGCGGGCATCAAGCCGGAACAGATCGGTATCATCACACCGTACGAGGGTCAACGGGCCTACTTGGTCCAGTATATGCAATACCAAGGCAGCCTCCATTCGCGCCTGTATCAAGAGATTGAGATCGCCAGCGTGGATGCGTTCCAGGGACGTGAGAAGGACATCATCATTATGTCGTGCGTGCGCTCAAACGAGCGGCAAGGCATTGGCTTCCTCAACGATCCCCGACGCCTCAATGTGGCCCTTACTCGTGCCAAATACGGCATCATTATCGTGGGCAATCCCAAGGTGCTCGCCAAGCAGCAGCTCTGGAACCATCTGCTCAACTTCTACAAGGACCGCAAGGTGCTCGTTGAGGGTTCACTGAACAACCTCAAGGAGTCCCTCATCCATTTCCAAAAGCCGAAGAAGCTGGTTAATAGCATGAACATTGGGGCTCACTTCATGTCTACCATGATGGCCGATGCCAAGGAGGTGATGGTGGCCGGCTCTATCTACGATCGTAGCGGTCGCCCGATGCCAGGCCAGGCAGCAGTTAACGGCTCCCAGTTTGGTAGTGGCGGTGGAACTCCCTACGGCGGAGCCTCTCCCCTTGGTTACGGCGGTGGCCCCGCCGGCTCCAACTCCATGCACGGCTACAGCCTGGGCGCTGTCGGTAGTGGCAATAACAACTATGGTGGCGGTGGTGCAGGCCCTAGTTGGGCAGCTGCTCACCTGCACCATGACTCCATTGGCTACATATCCAATGAGCATGGCGCCGCCGCTTTGGGTAACATGCCCGTGCCCGTGGGCATGTTCATGAACATGACCAATCTGCCGCCGCGTTTCTATAACCAACATCAGCAAGCAATCATGGCCGCCAAGCAGAATCGACCCATGCAGCAGCAGCTGTCCGGCAACTTCCCCTCAAACGCTGGCACGGTCAGTGGAGGCGGCGCCGCAGGAGGAGCCGTCGGTTCGGGAAATAATGCACAGTCTGGCGGCAACAAGAAATCCAATAAGCTGGGCAAGCTACGGACATCGAGTGGACAAGCAAGTGGCGCCGCAGCAGCGGTTGGAGGACCAACCAGCGGTGGTAGTGTGACTCCATTTACCCAGCAACCGGTGCCATTGTCGCTGCAAATGACGCAGCCAAGCGGATTTGCTTTATCGCAGCAGCCGGAGCTATCGCAGGACTTTGGACAAATATCACAAATGGACGGTTTGCTCTCCCAAGATGTGGCCTTTAACGTGGTGAGTTTCTGTGATTCATATTTAATGGCGTAAATCCCTTTAACATTAATTTTGTTTTACTTTCTCACAGTCGGGCGAACGCAGTTTGAATCAGTTCTCACAGCCTTATTGAGAATCCGGCCGCCGCGGGTGCACTACCAAAATACAAACGATTACAAAGCAAGCAACCCAAATGAAAAAAAAACAACAAACTCAAGATTTTGAAAACAACAATCAAAGAGTAGCAGCATCAGCAAGGAGCAGACATGAAACAAGGAGCAAGGACTACGAGCACAGGGAAACAACGACAGATGCGAGAAACGCGCAGCGCAGCGAGAGGACCTAGAAACACATGAGTACGGGCGGGGCCACGGCCATGGACACGGAGAAACGGTGGAGGGGACAGTAATTATCGAGAGATAGAGTGAGCGACAGAGTACGGAGTCCATTACAGGCGGTAGTGTGCATTGCAGATCACTCAAAAGGACTGCAGCCACGTCGAGCGCTATGAGCGAATGCGCTCCGCAGGATCATGGTCCCGAAACGGAAGAGCCTGCCTTGACAGCTATGCAAGCAGACGGAACACACGATGTAAAGCATTTTCTCGAAATGCGTATGTCTTTTGCCTGCCCGATTGGGGGATGGGATTTGCGCATCCATCCGGCTACCGAGCCGGTGCCACTCCCGCCCCCAAGGGAGATGTAAAGTGGCCCATCATCTTTTGAAACCTTCTTTACCATTCTCTGCCTTCCGGTGCAGTGCAGCCAAGACTTAAGCTCATGCTCTAGACTTTTAAATCCAAAACACACGTTCACACTCACATCGGCCGGCCCCATGCTAAGCCCACAACTGTTGTACATTTCGTAAGTCTTCGACAACTTTTTTTTTACTTCTGCGTATGCATTTGTTATCCACAAAAAAACCAAAACAAAGTAAAACAAAGCATCAAAAAAAAGGAAAAAAAAAAAAACAAACAACAAAATATGTTAAAACAAAATCAAAAACTTCAGAATAATGGATATGGGAATTCGATTCACACAATATTCGATCGCGGGACTTGCCAATGATGATTGAAAATCGAATGAACGATGACAGATGTGATCTTCCCACCCATAAAATAAAATAAATAAAAATAACTGAAAACAAAAGGATCAGAAGAGGTTAATATTAATTGTAATATTAATGCAGTTACACAGATGCCTGTTAATTGTTTTTAAAACGATATATGAAAAAAGGGTATATATATTTTTTTGTCAATATAATGTGAGTTTATTTTTCCCCCAAAAAACGCAACTCTTTGAAGCAAGAAAAGTTGAATTGCTTTTCATTTATTTCTTTGAAATTCTAAATAAAGAGTTTTAATTTTTCTTTGCAAAAATCAACACACATATTTTGTTGTTTATTCTGGAAGGTGTATTTTGATATCGATGACAATATCGTATATATGAGGGATAAATGGATCCAAGGCGTTCCACTAGCTCATCTTTTAATATATTTTAATTTGAGATAGAGCCATTTAGTATTATTTTATTATTTGGCAGCAATAAGATATAGTTGCCCGATAATAATAATATTTTATTTCAGGCACGTCCATCTCTCTCTCTTTCTCTCTATCCCTCTTTAACTCTAGACTATCACCTGCTCTCTAACTCTCTCTCTTTGTAACTTAAGACCAGCACCTGCTCTCCAACTCTCTCTGCTTAGCTCTCGAGCTAGCTGTTTCTCTTTCGCTCTCACTTTCTCTGTTCTCTTTACTCGGGGACTATAAATACAGGCACTGTCGGCCGCGCGCGCCTCTATCAGTCCGTGGCCTCGCTCCTGTCAACATCTAAACATCTAAAGTGATAGTGTAGTGATAGTGATTGCATGGCGACCCAGAAATATCATCTGGCCAATGGAATGCATCCGGTTAACCAGGAAGAAGCTCACTTTAATTGAAGTAACCAAGATTAAACCTCTGCACTGGAAGGAATTAAGCGATGACTAAGAGGAATAACCGTGTGGCCCCTACTGCGGTAAGTCTTAAGTATGACAATTATTTTATTTTTATAAGTGCCATAGGAACAATCAGGTCTAGAATTAACTGTGCTAGCTAGGTATTTGATTTATAATTAATTCCCACATTGCCATGGACCCCATTAATTAATTATAATTTAGTTATGATCGATTTCAAATTCCAAACACCTTGGATTATCATCCTTTCTTGTTACTTCTGATATATGTAAATAACTTGATATACAATTAACCCTTTAAGTTAAATGAAAAAACATATTACGTTTGTGTTTTGCATTCTTTCTTGTTTATAATTTATTGTACAGAACTTGCAGTCCTTTTTTTTACATTTTCGGATGACAATTTTGCATATCATAAGTTAGGTACATACACACGCCACAGGAGGAGAGACGTGGATGTTTACAATAATTGATGGAATTCGATATAACAAATTGATGGAATTTATGCATTAATAATAGTGAAAATGAGTTACTAGATGACATTTAACAAAATAAAGAAGCATTAGAATGTATTTACTGAAATTCACCCACGATTTTGTTTCCCAATTGGTTCTTTTCATCTTTTTGGATTTTTTTTGATTTCGTGAATTTCAATTTACAAGAAATCTTTTGGGCTGGTGTTCCGTAGTAAACATTGTGTATAAGACATAATATTTTGTTTGTTCGGTTTAACCACTTTTTCAAGCTTTACCTGCAACGATTTTAGTATATATTAATTAATTTTAATTGTAGTGAGATCTATTCTTTGTGAAGCTTGAACTGGGTTAAAATATTCATTTTACTAAAGTTTTTCTTAACTTAATGTTATATCCTATTAAACTATACTTAACATATTTTATATTGCATTTAGAATTTGATCTATTTAATAATAAATAAATAAGGGAATAAAATTGAACCATTGCATTAATTACTTTTGAAAAAATTTTACAGAATTTCTTTTTAAATCTTTAAAATCTTTCATAACTTTGGTCTTTGAATCAATTTTTTTCTATAAAGACTGTTAAATATATTAGGAATGAATTTATGAATAGTACTTTCTTTAAAAATTATATACAAATAAAATGTATAGTGGGGTCAAGAGCTGTCCTAAAATACACTTATATTAGTACTCATATATTTGGTCCACTCCTTACTCTATAAGGGCACTATGCAACGTACACTCTACTTTGTTAGAAAGATATAAGTTCAGCTATTAACACCATTATTGGTCCTTTCATTCAAGGCAGGTCTTTTAAGTTAACACCTTTAAGTTAACGTCTGCCAAAAAATCCTTATGCATAGATCAACTATTTTCAATTATTTCCAGCACACTTGTGCTTTTTTATCCATCAACCCTAAGAACCAACTGACCTTAATGAGCCGCCGCCTAGCATCTGGGGCTTATGGGCCTCAGTTCCCATCAATCCCGGTTCGGCTGCTTCTTGAACGACCATCATTTTCTCCCCGCCACGCGGTGGCTCAAACTGCTCCTGCTCCTGTTGGTTGGGAGCTTGCTCTGGGGATGCACGATTGGACGGAAGATGGAAGACAGGTCCAGGGTGTGATCCAGTCGATGAGCTGAGGCCAGAAAGATTGCCTTAACGCGTTCAAAGGTAGCATAGTCGTACACTGAGCGGGCCGTGTTGGATAGATCAAATGGCTCCTCGATGTTGAGCTCCTTCCATTGGTAGAAATCGTTACGCTGGCTTCGAGCCATGCGACAAGTGGACACTGGCAAGATGCCGCCCGTGCGTATGGAGATGGCATAGGTGCGAAAACTGAAACGAGGCAACTAATGGATGATTAGGTTCTACAGGAGAAGGGCAAAGCGCTCACTCAAAGTTGCTGTAGTACTTAAAGAAGCCGAGCAAAAGCTCACCCAGCGTTTGGGTATTCTGCGTCTGGTAGGGCTCAATAGGCTCGATGAGATCTAGATCCAGACAATCCAGTTGTCCAAGACGAAACTTCTCTGGATATAGGGCCTGCAGGCAGGGCAACACATGAGGTGTACAGCCGTACTGCAGATAGTGCAGAACCATCAACACCAGCGAGTAGCTGGATATGGTCATGCGCTTGGCATCATTAATATCGTGATATTGCGCCCACAGCTTAACCACTACTACCAGTGGGCGTGCTCGCCAGTCCACTGAAAATATATAATATTTAACTTAGCTTAAAATTTATAAAAAGTTATATCTTAAAGCAAACGAAACCAAGGCAGATCCCTTGATCTATGACCAAGTCAAATGTACATTGAAAATTATATCCAGGAGCATTATCGCTATAATTAGACTTACACTGAGCATAAAGCTGGAGCAGATAGGTGTTTTTAATGCCCACGCAATTGTTGTAGTTCAGATCAACCTCAATGCCGTTGGAAATGTCTTTGAAGCGCAGTATTGGCACCCTTGCCTCAATCAGATTAAAGTCTTTAAACACATCGGCTGTAAAGAAAACTTTACTCCGGTGGGTGAAATTATGATAATGATATAGCTCCTTACCAGCCTCCTTTAAGACGCTGTTGAAGAGGCCTAGGGTGATGAGGGCCTCAGACCGCTTCTCATTGTGGTAAGAATGATGGTGGTGATTGTTATGCGTTGGATGCTCGGGCAGCAAGCACATGTCGATGTCCGAGGAATCCGTGCCAAAGCCAGTGATGGTCGATCCAACCAGGCAGATGCGATACCCCTCGAACATCTGATACAACGTGATGAATTTATTCATATATATATATATAATCGCCCTGGGCCCAGCCCCCGTACTCACATTCATCATGATGTACAAGTAACGCCATAGACGCATCTTAGCCTTGAACTTGTTGTGCGTCTGGCGGGCAACACGGAACATCTTCCAGACCTCCAACGACAATTTATCATACTTGCACATGCAAATCAATTTTTCCGGCTGCGCCGCCACTTCCACATTCCTGGCCTGGGCCAGGTAGCGATCGGGTGGCAGCATCATCTCATACCATGGACCTCCACCAGAGCCTCCGTGCATATCGTAATGGGCAAAACGATGTCCATGGTGGTGCACCGCATGCGGTGGCAGATGATGACGCGGCGTATGCTGCCTCGGATGTAGTTGCGGTTGCTGCCCGTTCATCTCAATCAAATGTGGTGACAATTGTCCGGTTTCTAAAGAGCTGGGTGTAGGTGAAATGGAAAGGTGCTCCCCACTGACCAAGCTGTGAAGGAAAAATAAAAAAAGAGTCCCTGTCAATATCGTTTGAAGACTAGACCGAATCGGTTTTCCTTTTTTTTTTCTATTCGAAAAAGTGAAGTTAATTTCGCCACGCCTACTTTAATTTAAGAAATATAGAAATGTTATATCGATAAAAGGAAAGCGACAGGAAACACCTACCGACATCGATTGGTTGGACCACTCCAATGGGAATCGCTGCTTAGGGTGGAGGTGGACAGGGCAGGTGACAATGCCCGCACATCATTGTGGTGATGTGGCGAGCTGCCGGCGTGGCTGCCGCTGGATCCATATGGGGGAGCCTGGTAGCATGGCATCCCGGAATTTGGCCACACTGCCGCCGTTTGGGCTCCATCACCGTAGTGAAGAAATACCTGTGGCGGAGCACTCCCGCCGCTGTTTGGGAGTAGGTGCCCTGGTGGTGGCGCCTGTGAATGTTGCTGCTGCTGCTGCGAGGGATGCGGGATAATAAAGGGCACTGTTTGAGGATAATTGGGGCTTGATATGCATTGGTCGCCATTGGCAGCAGCTGCCGTGATGGCCTCGTCCAGCTGCGCACAGCTTATCATTTTGGTGGGCGTGTTAATGCCAGGGGATAGCATGGCATGTCCTCCGATCATGCCCAGCGGTAAAGGCGGGGGCGGCTGAGGAAACATGTTGCGTCCGTGACTCAATGCTGGTAGCGGTAGCACAGAATTGGATACTGCATTGGAGACCGGTATCGGAATCGGAACGGATCGGCGCACTGTCGACGGGGCGGGAGCAGGGGCCGTCACCGTAATACTTGGTTTGGTCTGCCGCGTGGTTTTTGCCCTATCTGCGGTCGACCCGGCGGTTGTCCCAGCTCCTGCTCCCGCCACTGGGGCGCCCGTCGTGGCAGTCATGTCGACATTCACATAAGTAAGATTGTACAGGTTCTGGCGTTCGGCACAGTTCGGCGTAAACCCATCGTCATCAGTCAGAGAGTGGAAGTGGTGCTGATGGTAGTATCCGTTTTTGCCTCCTCCCTGAGTACGTCGGTGTGCCGAATTAAAGTTGCTGCTTGCCAGAATTTCAATGGTTTTATGCTGCTGCTGCTGTTGTTGTTGTCCCGAGGCAGGTGACGTATCTCCGATTCTTCCCGCCACTGGACTGTAGTGCATCTTCTTCTGAATGCTGCTGCTACTGTTGCTGTCGCCATGCTTCCGCCGAAAGTGTGAGCTGCCCAGTCCGTGCTGGTGAGGATGTGCTTGGTGTTGGACGTGATGCTGTTGCTGCTGCTGCTGTTGTTGCTGCTGTTGCTGCTGCTGGTGCTGTTGTTGCTGCTGGTACTGCTCGTATGCGTACTGAGCATTGCGGTAACGCTGTTGGGTATAGCCAACATTCCCTCCTGATGAATGATTACTTTGTTGCTGGCGCGAGAAGGAGCTGCCACTGCTGTGATTGCTGTTGTTGCGTTGCTGCACGCCCTTATCACTGCTGCTGGTGCTGCTGTCTGGCAACAGTTCCTTCTGCAGGAATGAGGCAATGGTCAGCTGCTTGGGCTGCGGATAATAGTATTGATAATAATTATGCGGCTGATTTTGTTGCTGATAAGCAGAGTTTCGTCTGTTTTCGAACGACAGAGACGCCTGCTGTTCCGTTGCAGCAGTTGCAGCAGCAGCAGCAGCCGCAGCAGCAGCCGAGACAACTGCAGCGACCGTCTCCTTCTAAAAATGGATAGGAAAAGTGGGTTGAATCGTTTAAGTTTACGCATTTTAGTATGGAAATGAATATATTATTACATCTTTTAGTTGCCTGGCGGCTTGCTGCGGATAGTTCGTCTTCCAGTAGCTGAGAGGCTGCTGTCGGGATCGTTGCTTGGCCCCAATTTCCTGTTCTTGTGCCTGTTCCGAATCCGGATCTCCTGCGGTGGTGGTCGCCTCCGGGGAAGGCTCTGCGCTTGAACTAGTAGTTGACGGACTGATGCTGCAGGACGCGGTGGTGTTTGCTGCTGTTGCTGTTGTTGAATCCGCAGAAGCTTCAGAGTTTAGGCTGTCGCAGGAATTGCGATAAAATGTAGAAGATAATTCCCCCATGGAGGAGGAAAGCGAATTGCGCTTTTTAGTAAGATTATTGTTCCTGCAGCCACTACTATTGGTGTTAGTGCTGCTGCTGCTGTTGTTAATATTGTTGTTACTGCTATTATTGTTGTAAAGCCACTTGTCTGGCTTAGCTGACACCTTACTGTTGCCACTGTTGTTGTTATTGTTGCTATCACTTAGCTTGCAATCAGACATTTGCTGTTGAATAATATTCTGATTCTTCATCGACTGATTGTTGTTGTTGTTAAGCACCTGTTGCTGCTGCTGTCTCTGGTAATACGAAGATTGCTGCTGCTGCAGACTGTTGCTAACGGAATTCGTATTACCAAAGTATTTCTTTCGGCTCAACGAGTGACTGCTGCAGCTGTAGTGCCCTTGTTGCTGCTGTTGGCCCTTTTGGGCATCGCTGCTGCTGCTGTTGTTGTTGTTATTGCTGTGATAGTTGGTCACCTGGCGCAGCAAATTGGCCGTCTTGCTGTTGCTGTACTTTCCAAACTTCAGGTGACACTGGCTCGGCTTGGACACCGGCGATCCAGCGGATAGCCGCTGTCGGAATTGCAGCGACTGTTGCTGTTGCTGTTGCACGGGCGTGTTGCACGCTGCTGTTGCGCCGTCATTGGCAGCAGCTTCTGCTGCAAATATCTTCATGTCGCCGGCAAGTCGGGTGGCGTACATAGCCCTCGAACTGGGATCGGATATAAGCGAAAATTATATAGTTTTACGGCTCGAGTTTTGGGCATAAAAAATCGCTCGGCCTCGCTTTTAGTGTCTTAGGACTAAATTTTAAGTTAAGTTAAAATTATGGTTGTTTTTTTAAGTTCCCTTTGTGTTAGGAAACCATTTGGTTTTAATTTATTTATGTTTTTTTTTTATATTTTTGATTTTGTGTTTTATTTAATACCTATGTTGTTATATATTTTTTAGTTTTAGTTTTGGTTATTTTTTCCTTTTATTTTAGATTTTTACTGGTTACTTTTATATTTCACTTCAGATTATTCCTTAATCCGGGACTTTCACGTTTTAACGGCCACGACTGTAAAAGTGCCGTTCTTCCTGCGTTTCACACAAACAAACATGCACTGCCCGGTGTTATTTGTATATTCGCACACTTGCTATCTCTCTCTTTCTCGTTTCGTTAAATGCGCTGGCAAAAAGATCCGTTATGTGCAGGAGGAGGCGCAAAAGAACAGAAAATAATGAACTGGCAACTGCGAATGGGAGAAAATCGAAGAAATTGACGTAAGATGGGGAAGTTACCGACCATAAATTAAAAAGAAACTTACCAGATCAAATATTAGCGGCAGCGCGGTAAGGAAAACGGTGCCTATCTCGTTGAGCGTTTCGCGCTCTGCTCCGTATCCATTAAAGTCGCAACACACACTTTCCACATCAATTCAAACATTCATAAAAAAACTAAAACTCCGCCTAAACTAAACGCTTTGCGAGAGAGCGAAAATGATCGCCACATCCCGATCGGGTTATCGATAGCTCTGCTCCTGCCGGAGAGAACCGATTTGATCGAATAATTAAGCTGAACTTAAGATCAGCTGTTGATGGTGTTGTGATTATTTGTTTTTGTTTTTTTTTTACCTTTTTTTAAGTGTAATATTAGTGAAAGCGTACTTCTTAGTACAAGTTTGATTGCGCTCACAAGTGTTTATAATATGGCACATAAAAAACGCATAGCTTCTTATCTATCAGGTATTTTATTTTTTAAAAATCAACAACTAGGCATTAAGCCAAACTAGTAAGTAAACTAACTACCAACTGGCAGGTGCATTGTTTTGGCTTAATTAGTACCGATTAAAGAGCGACTTCCAGTAGAGACGTACCGGCAACAGGGAGTCGCGTCCCACGCAGGACTTGTGGGTTAGCCTAAAAGCATAAAAAGATTTAAAAAAGGTATCCCTTTTAAGGAAACATCGGTGAACTCACTGAAAGTTAGCGCGTCTCAGACGCTCCAGGTAGGCATCGGTTGCAACGGCAGGGAGGAAGATCTTACGCACTGGTCGCGGCACCTGATCGTGTAGTTTCCTGGCCAGCTTCAGGTGTGTATTGGCTGCACTGGCTACCTCGAAGATGCACTCCTCCACGCCCTTATCATCGCTGCGGCCACGAATGACACGTTCCTGGCTGACGCCATGCCGCACAAGCACCTCGAGCGGCACACAAACGGCTTGCTGACGCCCCGCATGAGGGATGGCTCGCAGCAGGGTGGCAATGCCTAGTGCCTTACCCAAGTGGGAGGCTGCATGGTCCACCTGGAGGTCACGTACGCCGCTTATCTCAACCAGGAGCAGGAGGAGCGAGGAGAAGGTTTGCTCGGCATACTCTTCCAATTCGCGAACCGACTCAAAGGCCTTGTTGGGTGGACGCTCACGGGCTGTGACCAGGCGGCGCAGATAGACCTTGTTCAGCTTTCGACTGCCCACGGTGTGCTTTAGTTCGCGCAAAACCGGCTGATCTTTTACGTAGGATGGCTGGGACTCCTCCTCGAAGCACTTGTCAATCGAGTCGTACCAGAATTTAAGGCGCAGCTTGGCTATTTGCGGTTCGATTTGCTGTAAGACATCTTATTTGAAACTGCCATTGGATTAAGAACCAAGAATATCACTCACATGACCACTGACTGATCTGGAGACCTCCACGTTGAAGGCCCGCAGGGCGAAGGCAGCTCGCCGCAACTCCCGGGGAAGCAGGAGCGTGCTCAGGTAGTTTTCGTAGTCGTACTTCCTATATGAATGATATGATTAGCGAACAGGGAAACCGAGATTCTTTGCAGGCAACAACTTACTCCACCAAGCCCATGCAGTGTTTGGTCCCATATCCATTGCTATCCGCCTCGCTGGCTGCATCGTCCTTCTGCTCGGTGGCCGGCTGCTGGACACTCGCATGCCTGGCGGTGACGTAGGAGCCACGAGAGCCGGAGCCGGCATTAAGTAACAATTGGTTAGTCCAACTCCTCGCCAAGCACCGCATCTGAGAGCTGCAGAGAGATCCGTTAAAATGCAGAAATCAGACGGAAACACTGGGGATTTTCCCTCTGCGGCAGCTGGTCTCACTTAAACAAGAACGTAGTCAAAAAACATCAAGTTATCAACAATTATTTATTTCAAAACGTGGTCTGTGACGATAAAAAAATCGTGTTATTTTTCAACAAATTTATAAACAATGTCAAATTGAAGCTTAATTCTAATTAGAACAGCTGGCCTCGATTTTTTTTTAGATCCTCACCGATGTTTTAGACCGATATTTTTTCAGTAAATCAGCTGCTCAGCTACCATCACTATTAGACTCTAAACACCACGTCAAGTTTTGTGTATTGTGATAAACATTAATTAGTTTCAACAAAACAGTTTTTACGACTGTGGGATGGCTTACATTGATCACAGTGAGTGCAATACATATATCTGCTTGTTTCCACTTCTAAGCCTTGCTCTGTTTTGCAGACGGTCGCCTATGGGAAAAGCGTCCTTGGAACTGGCACCGGATCGTGTCCATCATTATTGGCTTTTGGTTCGCCATCAAGCAGTTGTATGTATTAACGAATTAAGTCTTTGTATAGGATCATCTCACACAGCAAGTTATACTCTATCCGTAGGTTCCGCACATTCCTGGCTCCTTTCAATGGAGGAGACAATAATCGTGGAGACTCTCGGGGAGGAAACGGTTGGGGCTCCAGTAGCTGGGGTGGCGGCGGAGGCGGTGGTGGAGGCGGAGGAGGTGGTGGCGGCGGTGGGGGTGGTAGAGGCAATGGAGGTTACGATGGATTAAGACCAAATCGGAGAATTGGACGCATTCCACCGCCTTCTCAATCCTGCAGTGCTGGTGGCTGCTGTGGATAAATATTAGTGGTTACTTTATGATTAGAAAGACATCTCCCTGTACTTAAACACAATGGCGATGCAACCAGATATAATTGGGGATTTAGTTACTTAATGGGCCATCGTTAAGATAAAAAATATTTACATACTCTAAATCATTTATCATTATTGAATAAAAGGCCCCAAGCATTATACATACTTCCTCCTAAGTAAGCTCGTTTTCAAAAAGAGCAGCGGAAACCCTCATTTCACAATTTAAAATAAACATTTTATTAACACATGAAACCTTTACATTTTTACATTTTATTGAAATTCTCTTTATTTGTTTACATGAAAAGCCTTAATAGGTTAGTAGAAAAAATAAGTAGAAATTTAAGCTATGTTGTTTTTAAGAGACCGACTACGGCCACGTAAACAGCGATCAGAAAATCGACGATTCATTTATCGGCTGCACTCCGCTCAGGGTACGAGTTTAGGAGGGCTGCGTCATAAAGGCGCCACAAGGACGTGATGAACCATCTCAATTTCCAATCATTTGTGGTGCTGTTTGACTTGGCCGCTAACAGTCGGCGCGACATCCGCCCTACACGGGATCGGATGTCGCTACTATCCTCATCCGCCGGCAGGAGTATTGCAGGACATGGACGGCTGTATGCGTCCGATTCGTCGGTTTGGCCTTAAATCTCCTCTGTAGCCGCTGCCTCCTCCTCTACCACCACCACCACCGCCGCCACCACCACCTCCTCCTCCGCCGCCGCCTCCCCAGCTGCTACTGCCCCAGCCGTTGTTGCCTCGGCGGTCATTATTGTTATTGGCCGTGAAGGGAGCCAGGAAGGTCTTGAATCTGTAAAGATCAATGTTTAGTACTCCAGGGCTATGGAAGACACGTGTAACCACTTACAACTGCTTGATGGCAAACCATATACCAGCAAACAGCTCCACTATCCGTTGCCAGTCCCAAGGCCGCTTCTCCCACACGCGGCCATCTGTGAATAAATAATTAGGAACTGTTCCGGACACTCCAACACCGAAGGTAACTCACTATGGTCGATGTACACCATGTTGCCGCCCACAGAGCATCCACGTAGCCCCCGCCTTCGTCAGTTTATTGCACAATTTAAGTTCGTAGTTATCCAAAAAACATTATTAGATATGGACAAACCAAGCTAGAGCTGGAACTTGATAGATAAATCGCAATATCGAAAATCGAGTGACCAATAGTATCGATAGTTTAGTTTATGTTGTCACCATCATCAGTGTGGCCAGACGGGCAACATTTTGGAGAATTCATTTTGTGCAGTGTTTGTTGTGAATTGCAAAAACGGAGGAAGGTCCTGTGAAGTTCGTTTAATTTGTTTGTTTTTATCTTCTGTGATACGCGGGACCTCCGGTCCGAGAACGGGAGTGACGGAATAAGCAGCAGCTGCAGCAGCGAGTGGAAATGGCCCTGGTCGCCGTCTGCATCGAACTCTAAGCCACACACATCGCACAAGAACAAGAACAACAACAACAACAAAACAGGTGAGTGAGCCCCGGCGGAGGCAAAGGCCCAACGGAGTGTACGTCCTGCTGCTAACAACGCATCGTTTCTAACCAAAGCTCGCAATCCCGTCCAGGTGTAGCCAGGTATCGTCGCTGGCCCACTGCAGAGCGCTATAAATAGAAATGTCTATAGAGCTGGAGGGCGATGTTGTGGTACATCACAGCGTCATACTAATCATCATTCTTGGTCACAGCAAGACTTTCTCTAACGGCGCATTTCGCATTTGTCTGTTTCTAAGCCATTCGCGTGTCTTTGATTCTTTACTTCACTTGCTCCACTCCCCTTCTGTTGTGTAGGAAACTGGTTTTATTCTGACTAAACAACCAAATCGAAACTGATGTATGTATGTATATTGATGTATTTACATTTTGCACTTTGCTTTTGTCAACAATTTACGGAGCAATGTGATGCGACTTGACCTTTTGCCATCCCCACACATGTCGGCGGCGGTTAACCAGTTTCGCGCGCCCAAAAATACTCGCCACTTGGGCGGGAGCCTCCATCAACGCTACTGTGTCCCACAGGCAGAGATTCTATGGGTTACCTGCTTCTCTCGAAAGGTGTAAGGTGTGTGTTAGCCGCGTTTCTTAGCGCATAATAGCTACATTTACATATGTTCTTGATCAGCATAAATAACCCAAACTTGTACAAAGCCCACGCAGGTTTCTGGTTTTTACGCTTTATATTCCTATAGAAACGCTAATAGAGGTGGTAATTTAGTACGTGGCACTATCTATTTAGTCTAAAAAAATCTTGAAATGCCTTGGGTTAGGATGATATTTAATCATTAAAGGCTAATTGTGTACGAAAAAGTATGTAATAGGCATAGATATACATCTTTTAGGCCCTAAAGTGTGTAATTAACTACCACCATAAGGCAATTCGATTTAGCTACTGTATGGACTTCTTTATAAATTGTATATATTTATAACTAATAATCTGTTGTGCAGGTTTTCCAAATGAATTTGAGCTCAATTGACTAATAAACATGGAATGTTATTATAGTTTTAACGTTTGCAGGGTAATTTAAATTAAGTCAAAAGCGTGCCAAGCAACGAAGAAATCATTTCCGACCCCATAAACCATGATCAGCATCGAAAGCCGAGTCGATCTAGCCATGTCCGGAATAAAACAAAATTGACCAATTTATTCAAAATTTTATAAGGTCTAAAATTTTAAAAAATTTAAAGAATTAAAACATAAAATTATTAAAAATTCAGCAATTTTAATTCGGATAACTGTTCAGTGTTAATTTTTTTCATGCTAATAAAAATAAAAAAAATTAACAATGAACAGTTATCCGAATTAAAATTGCTGAATTTTTAGTTTAGTTATGGTATTTTGTATACTTGGTTGTGTCAAAAAAATTATTATGAATAAATATAGATAAATATCGATATATCTTAAATGTCATGAAAATGTGTTAAAAACTGGAAAAGTTATAATATTTTTTCTTAAAACTCCGATTGTTCCTATGCCAGCTATATACATATATGTATATATATAGTCCACCGATTCGCCATGCTCCGACTTATATATTATTAAAATTATATAGAGGAATAACTCCATAGTTTCATTCAAATAGCATGCTTTGAATTTCTTCCAAAACAAATCTCGCACATCTGTGCATATGATTCCCAACTTGTTCTAACATCCCCGGAACGAAGTGACTGCTGCCGGCCACGTCTCAGAAATGTGTTGTGTTAAAAAAGTTGCAAGTCATTGTTTACTAGTGTTCAAAGTTAGTAACTGATCATACATACTTACTGGTCAAAGATACTTACTGTTCAGAGTTACTTACTGTTCAGAGTTAATTAATGCTAATAGCTACTTACTGGTCATAGATACTTACTGTTCAGAGTTATTTACTGGTCATAGATACTCACTGTTCAGAGTTACTTATTGGTCATAGATACTCACTGTTCAGAGTTAATTAATCCTAATAGCTACTTACTGATTATAGATACTTACTATTCAGAGTTACTTACTGCTCATACTTTTTTTCTTAAATTTTCCGATCGTTCCTATGGGAGCTATATATATATATAGTCCACCGATTCGCCATGCGCCGACTTATATACTAGTAAAATTATATAGAAGAATAACTCCATAGTTTCATTCAAATAGCTTGCTTTGTTCCAAAACAAATCTCGCACATCTGTGCATATGATTCCCAACTTATTCTAACATCCCCGGAACGAAGTGACTGCTGCCGGCCACGTCTCAGAAATGTGTTGTGTTACAAAAGTTGCAAGTCATTGTTTATTAGTGTTCAAAGTTAGTAACTGATCATACATACTTACTGGTCAAAGATACTTACTGTTCAGAGTTACTTACTGTTCAGAGTTAATTAATGCTAATAGCTACTTACTGGTCATAGAAACTTCCTGTTCAGAGTTACTTACTGGTCATAGATAATCCCTGTTCAGAGTTACTTACTGGTTATAGATACTCACTGTTCAGAGTTAATTAATGCTAATAGCTACTTACTGATTATAGATACTTACTATTCAGAGTTACTTACTGCTCATACTTTTTTTCTGAAATTTTCCGATCGTTCCTATGGGAGCTATATATATATATATAGTCTACCGATTCGCCATGCACCGACACACATACTAGTAAAATTATATAAAAGAATAATTCCATAGTTTCATTCAAATAGCTTGCTTTAAATTTGTTCCAAAACAAATCTCGCACATCTGTGCATATGATTCCCAACTTGTTCTAACATCCCCGGAACGAAGTGACTGCTGCCGGCCACGTCTCAGAAATGTGTTGTGTTAAAAAAGTTGCAAGTCATTGTTTACTAGTGTTCAAAGTTAGTAACTGATCATACATACTTACTGGTCATAGATACTTCGTGTTCAGAGTTACTTACTGGTCATAGATAATCCCTGTTCAGAGTTATTTACTGGTCATAGATACTCACTGTTCAGAGTTACTTACTGGTTATAGATACTCACTGTTCAAAGTTAATTAATGCTAATAGCTACTTACTGATCATAGTTACTTGATGATTATAGATACTTACCATACAGAGTTACTTACTGCTCATAGTTTTATTTCTTAAATTTTCCGATCGTTCCTATGGGAGCTATATATATATATATAGTCCACCGATTCGTAATGCTCCGACTTATATACTACTAAAATTATATAGATAAATAAATTCATTGATACAATCAAATAGTTTGCTTTAAATTTGTTCCAAAACAAATTTCGCACATCTGTGCATATGATTCCCAACTTGTTCTAACATCCCCGGAACGAAGTGACTGCTGCCGGCCACGTCTCAGAAATGTGTTGTGTTTAAAAAGTTGCAAGTCATTGTTTACTAGTGTTCAAAGTTAGTAACTGATCATACATACTTACTGGTCATAGAAACTTCCTGTTCAGAGTTACTTACTGGTCATAGATAATCCCTGTTTAGAGTTATTTACTGGTCATAGATACTCACTGTTCAGAGTTACTTACTGGTCATAGATACTCACTGTTCAGAGTTAATTAATGCTAATTGCTACTTACTGATTATAGATACTTACTATTCAGAGTTACTTACTGCTCATACTTTTTTTCTGAAATTTTCCGATCGTTCCTATGGGAGCTATATATATATATAGTCCACCGATTCGCCATGCGCCGACTTATATACTAGTAAAATTATATAGAAGAATAACTCCATAGTTTCATTCAAATAGCTTGCTTTAAATTTGTTCCAAAACAAATCTCGCACATCTGTGCATATGATTCCCAACTTGTTCTAACATCCCCGGAACGAAGTGACTGCTGCCGGCCACGTCTCAGAAATGTGTTGTGTTACAAAAGTTGCAAGTCATTGTTTATTAGTGTTCAAAGTTAGTAACTGATCATACGTACATACTGGTCATAGATACTTCGTGTTCAGAGTTACTTACTGGCCATAGATATTCACTGTTCACAGTTAATTAATGGTAATAGCTACTTACTGATTATAGATACTTACTATTCAGAGTTACTTACTGCTCATACTTTTTTTTCTTAAATTTTCCGATCGTTCCTATGGGAGCTATATATATATATAGTCCACCGATTCGCCATGCGCCGACTTATATACTAGTAAAATTATATAGAAGAATAACTCCATAGTTTCATTCAAATAGCTTGCTTTAAATTTCTTCCAAAACAAATCTCGCACATCTGTGCATATGATTCCCAACTTGTTCTAACATCCCCGGAACGAAGTGACTGCTGCCGGCCACGTCTCAGAAATGTGTTGTGTTTAAAAAGTTGCAAGTCATTGTTTACTAGTGTTCAAAGTTAGTAACTGATCATACATACATACTTACTGGTCATACTGTCAAAACTTCCTGTTCAGAGTTACTTACTGGTCATAGATACTTACTGTTCAGATATTACTGTTCAGAGTTATTTACTGGTCATAGATACTCACTGTTCAGAGTTAATTAATGCTAATAGCTACTTACTGATTATAGATACTTACTATTCAGAGTTACTTACTGCTCATACTTTTTTTTCTGAAATTTTCCGATCGTTCCTATGGGAGCTATATATATATATATAGTCTACCGATTCGCCATGCGCCGACACACATACTAGTAAAATTATATAGAAGAATAATTCCATAGTTTCATTCAAATAGCTTGCTTTAAATTTGTTCCAAAACAAATCTCGCACATCTGTGCATATGATTCCCAACTTGTTCTAACATCCCCGGAACGAAGTGACTGCTGCCGGCCACGTCTCAGAAATGTGTTGTGTTTAAAAAGTTGCAAGTCATTGTTTACTAGTGTTCAAAGTTAGTAACTGATCATACATACTTACTGGTCAAAGATACTTACTGTTCAGAGTTACTCACTGTTCAGAGTTACTTATTGGTCATAGATATTCACTGTTCAGAGTTAATTAATGCTAATAGCTACTTACTGATTATAGATACTTACTATTCAGAGTTACTTACTGCTCATACTTTTTTTCTAAAATTTTCCGATCGTTCCTATGGGAGCTATATATATATATATAGTCCACCGATTCGCCATGCGCCGACACACATACTAGTAAAATTATATAGAAGAATAATTCCATAGTTTCATTCAAATAGCTTGCTTTAAATTTCTTCCAAAACAAATCTCGCACATCTGTGCATATGATTCCCAACTTGTTCTAACATCCCCGGAACGAAGTGACTGCTGCCGGCCACGTCTCAGAAATGTGTTGTGTTAAAAAAGTTGCAAGTCATTGTTTACTAGTGTTCAAAGTTAGTAACTGATCATACATACTTACTGGTCATAGATACTTCGTGTTCAGAGTTACTTACTGGTCATAGATAATCCCTGTTCAGAGTTATTTACTGGTCATAGATACTCACTGTTCAGAGTTACTTACTGGTTATAGATACTCACTGTTCAAAGTTAATTAATGCTAATAGCTACTTACTGATCATAGTTACTTGATGATTATAGATACTTACCATGCAGAGTTACTTACTGCTCATAGTTTTATTTCTTAAATTTTCCGATCGTTCCTATGGGAGCTATATATATATATATAGTCCACCGATTCGTAATGCTCCGACTTATATACTACTAAAATTATATAGATAAATAAATTCATTGATACAATCAAATAGTTTGCTTTAAATTTGTTCCAAAATAAATCTCGCACATCTGTGCATATGATTCCCAACTTGTTCTAACATCCCCGGAACGAAGTGACTGCTGCCGGCCACGTCACAGAAATGTGTTGTGTTACAAAAGTTGCAAGTCATTGTTTACTAGTGTTCAAATTTAGTAACTGATCATACCTACTTACTTGTCATAGATACTTACTGTTCAGTGTTACTTACTGGTAATAGATACTTACTGTTCAGAGTTACTTACTGGTCATAGATACTCAGAGTTACTTAGTGTTTATTGTTACTTACTTTTCATAGTTACTAGTGTTTATATTTACTTGCTTTTCATAGGTTCTTACTGGTCTTAGATACTTACTGCTCATAGTTAATTACTGATGATAGTTACTTAAGGTTCATTGATTCTTACTGGTCATAGGTACTTACTGATCCTCTTCATTTAACAACCGTTCATCTGGTGGGTATATTATTTAGTATTCAGATTTTCATAAAACTTAAAATGAAATTCTAAATTAAGAAAAAATAGCTTTGAAACAAATTAGATGAAAATATGTTAAAAATATGATGTAGTCATCCGATCTGGCCCGTTCCGACTTATATAGTATATAGTTTCATTGAGATTCCTTTAAAACTGAGTAACTATTTTCAGTAGAAACGGACAGACGGACATGGCTAGAAGATCAAGAATATATATAGGCAAAAACTAAAGCAAAGTTTGTTCATCGTTTTGGACACTGTGCGACGTCACGACTCGACGCCCGCCTATTTTGGCAATCAGTTTTCTGAGGCAGTTGTTGTTGGTGCTGTCAGTGCTTTTATTTTCTTTCTTTTTTGGTGTTGCTGCTGGTGCTACCGCTGGCTATGTCGTCGTCCACCGTTGGGGTTTGCTCAGCTGGCAGCCGCCAGCCGGCTGGCAAGCCCCGAGCCGAATTCTGCTTGTGTGTTTCTGCTTCTATTATTCTTTTCGTACTTTTGTTTTCAGTAATCGGCAAACAACGCGAGCGAACGCATGCATTTCTCCTCACCGGCTCGGTCGGACCCACGTCTATTTTTCCCCTCTGACATCATCATCAACATCCAGCGGATCGCGTCCAAATCTCCAGTGTGTGTGCGTGTGCCTAGGTTCGGTGTTTGGGGCTCTTCTCCGTTCTTTTTGTGTTTTCTTGTGTGTGTTTTCTCTCCTGTGGAACCACGACGAGCTTATTGAGAGCCGCACTCAACGCTTTTTATACCGCCCCGCCGTCAGTCGTTAAGCGTAATGCATAGGAGCCGGCGCCGCTGCGCAGTCGCCGAGGAAGTGCCGAAAGTTGGGAGGAGCAGTCACCAGGTCGCCGGGACTCGATAGGAGCAGCGAGAGTGATCAGTGATCTTAAAAAGACTGCCAAAGAACATATAAATACAAATACATTCCGCACTTCCGACGCCGCCGCCGCCCCAAGCAAGCATGTATTCGGCGGGTAAATAAATAATCCAATGAGCTAACAACATAATTCCAACCATTGCACCCGCTCTTACGTTAATTGTTTTGTGTTTGGCCTTCGCATTTATTCCAAGAATGATTTCATTTCGTTTGTTTCTTACCAAAGATCAGTGCTTTTATTTTCAATCCTAGCCCAGCCCCTTCCCGTTGATGTTTTCGTTTCGGTTCAAAAGCTTGAATTAGTTTTGATTGTCTGTGTCCGCTGGAAACTGATCATCATCATCAGCCGCCACCGCCACCCCATGCGTTCATTCCCATTCATTCATCGAAGCTTTCACACGCATTAGCTGGGCATTATCTCATATTGTGTTCATTCCAAAATGGGGGTGAACCATTATGTAATTGACCGCATTTAAATGAGCCAACCCATTCCATTGGCCACTATTACCACTGTTGGTATCAGCAACAGCTGCTACTAGTTGGCATTCTCCGATAAGTTCAGCCATAAGTTGGCCTCCTTTAGTGGCCCCACTATCTGGATTTATATTATATGGGCTTATCAGTAATTAATACGAAAATAACTGATAGGATACACTCTACTCTATCGGTACGCTAATTTATTTCTAGCCCAGTTACGCCGCTACACCTAATCTCTGTTGGCATTCCCTGATATTTATTATGCATATTTTTGGCTGCCAAACAGCCTAGGCTCATTAAATTGGAAATGCTTTCAAGGTCGAGTTGATTTCAACCCATCCGATCCATTTAAAATTATTGTAATTAAAGACTTTATAATTCGAAAATATAGAAATTATGAGCTTTCTTGGCTGGGCATAGAAACATATGTTCGTTAGGAGAAGATCATGTAATAGCCACTTGATTTATGTGGATAAAATACTTAAGATCTTTCTTTCTTTGGTTATCTTTTTAAAAAATGTAGTCATAAAATGTTTTTCATTAAAAAATGTAAAAGAAAAGAAACAAGTTAAGGCTTTAAACATATTTTATATGAATTGTAGACTTATTTTATTACTTTTGCATATTGTTTTAGTTTATTTTCATAAAAACTTTTCGAAATACATTTTAATGATGCATTTTATGTGGAAGCAAGACCAAGTGATCTTGAGAAATATAAATATGCAGCAAAATCTTGGCGTAATGCCAATTGGCCACCACTTGCATGCACTTACACCGCCGGCAACCGTCATCGTCACCACTCACCCCACTCACCACGCTTACAGAAAGGCCTCTCCGAATCTTCTGAAGACTAATCTCTCTTACACCTTCGTTGCAGTCCGCACCCACGACTACGACTATCCCGAATCGGAGATGGACGAGCGGGAGAGCCTGTATTTTGATACCATCTCCCTGGCGGACTCGGAGGCGGCTGCTGCTGCGGCTGCCCATCGGAAGTCGCTGTCGCAGTCAAGGAACACCATTTATCACTCGGCAGTGGACCTGGCCGGCGATGAGGGGCGCAGCAGCAGCAGCCTGCGTCTGGGTAGCGGCGCCGCTGCTGAGCATGCGGCACTGGCCTGGCAACCGGGCTATCGCCAGTCGACGGCACTGGAACACCTCAACGGAGGTGGTGATCACACGGATGCTGCCCTGGCCGCCCAGATATTAGCCCTACAGAACGGACGCGGCCATTTGCCCACAGGCATTGGGGTCAGCGGATCAGGCGGCGGAGGAGGAGGAGGTGGTGACGATGAGGTCTCTAGACGTCTGTTAAGAAATAGTAGCAACATTTCTATTAAAGATAAGAAATTGCCAATAACATACTCCCAGTGGAAATCGAGGGTAAACATACGATCCAATTAAAATTTCAACAAATCCAAAAACGTCATCCCACAAGCACTTAAAAAGAATAATAATAATATTAACTGCCGCGGCTCAACTGCATCATCATACTCGCTGTGCCGCCGCTGGCTTATCCTTCGCACATTCGCACTCGATCTCTCACCTCATGTTTGTTGCCTGTGCCTGCCTGTCAGACTGCCAGACTGCCTGCCCACCTGGCTGGTCGTTGCTACTTCATCATCTTCATCCATGCCCACACAGTCATCCTTACTTCGTCTTTTGCCAAACTAGGCTGTTCTAAAGGCAATTTTCTATACATGTATATATCCTTAAAGATTCAGTTAACAATTAGATAGTTTAAGCAAGGAACTCATGTATTCCATTGTATTTCTTGGTTGCTCCTCCAATATATAGAGCAACGCTTCTGATATTCTTATATCGTTATATACTTCAAAAGTCATAGGGTTCGATCGTGAATGAAAAGTTCGTTACAATTATGGGCAAACATCTCGTGCTCAATCTATATATTTCATATATTGAAATTTTAAACACTGAAAACTATTACATAATTTTAAATCTTTATCTATATTTATGGAAAATAACCGAAAAATGTCACTAATTAATTTGCTTCTATTTGCGATTCTATACATTGAAAGGAATATTGATTAATCACACATATAACGCATAGTTAAATGATCGATTCAGTATCTATGTACCTCTATATACATACATCTTCTTCTGACATGTCAATGCATTGCCTCTTTATGATCTATATATCAATCCGATAACAGACTATCTATCATTTAAATTCTTCAAGTTATGCTTCATTGTTATTCATTGTTTTTGATCAAATTTGTACAAATTACTTCCAAATTGCTGCAATCATAACTGTGGGAACTATAACAAATAGTCGGAACGAAGACTACAACTGGATAAATGCTAAACAAGACCAAAAAATGTAACTTGTGAGAAGAACTGAACAGAATTCCCCGTCAGGAAAGGTATATATAGATAGAATTATGTATGTAATCCAAAGGAGATTTAGTAAAGATAGAAAACCAAGCATTATATATTTTAAGTTACAGGAAGATTGCATAGTTAGCGACCACTGTACACATCATCATTATCATCATCATCATCAACAACAAAACACCATAACTATATAGCCGTCAAATTAGTTTCTGCACTCGAATCACGCCTTCGCTCTTCTTTGTTTCTTCAAATAATAATATATAGTTTGCTTTTTGCGGGACCGGATTTTTGCTAACATTGTTTATTTTGGAATCCTATATCCAAGAGAGCTGATCGGAGCAGTCCGTGCTAAGCGGACGGTCGCCCATATCACCAGAGCCTCTCGTCCGCTTCGGTTGTGTTTAGTTTTGTTCGCTCCCAGCGTCATGCTCAGTAGCCTTCTACACTGCTACCGTGGCTCCGGAGATCAGCAGCGGGAGGAGTCCGTCAAGGTGATAAGGGTGACCACTAGGGCGCCGGATCTGGGAGAGAGGCATAGAAGGGGAGAGGCACTCGCACCCACACGCTTTGCTTCCGTTACGATAAGCAGATATATTTTTAAGATTTCTCTTCGAGTGAATCACTCTAACCAGATGATATTAATTCTCTCTATTTTTCTCTCTCTTTTCGCTCCCAATGGATCACTCTCTGGCTCCCTGGTTGTGCAGACGTACAGACGCTTTGACGATGGCAAGAGGAGCGTGGACTTTGTGTTGGCCTACAATGGCGAGGACCAGGTGGAGGAGCATCGTCGCAAGCGGGAAATCTTCGAGGCGAACCTGCAGCGTGAAGGGTTACAGTTGGAGCACAACAAGGTGCAGCGAGTGCATTTCATCAAGATCCATGCCCCGGCCGAGGTGCTCTATCGGTATGCGGAGATACTCAAGATCAAGGTGCCGCTGAAGCCCATTCCCGGGCAGGAGCAGGTCTTTGCCGAATCCGAGCATCAATTCAAGTCCGTGGTGAGCCGCATGTGTCGCAGTCTCTTTAGCTCCGTTCAGCTGAACACGGCCCTCTTTCCGGAGCGTGAACCACGCATCCATCTGGAGTTCTCCCGCAATTACCTAGAGCTGTACGACACCGAACATCCGAATTTCTTTGATGCCAGCACCCGCTATTCCATCATTAACTTTATACTGCAGCGACAGCATTTTGTTGAGGGCGAGGAGTCGGCGGACAATCTGGGCATCGAGAAGCTTGTACAGGACAGCGTCTACACCTGCTCCTACACCCTGCATGATGTGAGTAGTCGTATATACTAATATATTAGTATTTATACTATATTTGTATATGTTTCTTTATTGCAGAAGGACGATAGGGATCGCCTGCTCAAGGAGTGGGCCAACATCACCAAATGGAAGAAGTGAGTAAGCTCAAATAGAGTGTAGATTTAAGCAGAAACCGATTTCTCCAAGTGTTTCCTGAAGCAACAGCTCAGTTTCCCGGAAACCTGAGCTTAATCTGGAGAGCTGGAGAACTTGAGCTATGTATAAGCAAAGCTGTTTGTAGATAAACAAACAACTAGACTAAGAACGCAGATTTTAATAAGAAATTCTTTAAAAAAGGTGTTCCCAGGCTCGGCTTATTTTCCATACATTTCCCCCAATAATAATATTTATGTTCATTACAAATGAAATAAAAATAATAATGTAATATATAAATCGTTGCAGCCTGCAGCCGTTAGACCAAATCAAAGACTACTTTGGCGCAAAGGTGGCCCTGTACTTCGCCTGGCTGGGCTTCTACACGCAAATGCTTATCCCCATCAGCTTGTTTGGAGTGATCTGCTTCCTCTATGGCTTCATAACGTGGAGCAGCGATCCCATTAGCCGGGACATTTGCGACGACAATGGAACGATCATGTGTCCACAGTGCGATCGCAGCTGTGACTACTGGCGTCTGAATGAGACGTGTACGTCTTCCAGGTTCAACTATCTGATTGATAACAATATGACCGTGGTGTTTGCCTTGGCGATGGCTGTGTGGGCAGTGGCCTATTTGGAGTTTTGGAAACGCTACTCGGCAGGCCTGGTGCATCGTTGGGGCCTTACGGGCTTCACCCATCACGTGGAGCATCCGCGTCCCCAGTACTTGGCCAAAATATCGCGTTCTAAACGGCTGGCCAATAGGACGACGACGACAACGATGCAGGGTAACCACGAAGCCAAGCCTAAGGTAACCTTGGATCCGGATGTGCCTTTTTGGAGTATCAAATTCCTGCCCAACTTCACCAGCTACAGCATCATGATATTGTTCGTAAGTAGTTAATAAAGCCATGTTCCAACCTGTCTTCTTATTTTTCCTACTTTACTTTCCAGATTTGCATATCAGTCATCGCCATAGCGGGCATCATCATCTATCGAATGGCGCAACGGGCCTCGCACAGCATCCTGGGCAGTGAGAATTCCATGACGTTCAAGGTCATGATTCTGCCGATGACGGCGGGAGTGATCGATCTGATTGTAATCTCACTGCTGGATCTGGTATACTCTAATCTGGCCGTGCGTCTGACCAACTACGAGTACTGCCGCACCCAGACGGAGTACGACGAGAGCCTGACCATCAAGAATTATGTGTTCCAGTTTGTCAACTACTATTCCTCGCTCTTCTACATAGCCTTTCTTAAGGGCAAGTTCGTTGGCTACCCGGCCAAGTATAATCGAGTGCTTGGCTTTCGACAGGAGGAATGCAATCCCGGTGGCTGCCTCATGGAGCTCTGCATGCAGCTGGTCATCATAATGGCGGGCAAGCAGGTGGTCAATGCCATTGTTGAGATGTTTATACCCTACCTGATGCGCACCCTCAAGGAGCTGAGCTACCGTCATGGCTGGTACAAAAGCCACAAGGACAACCGTCTGGTGCCGTACAATCAATTTACCGAGGACTACAATCTCCTGCCCGCCGAGAGTAATTCACTTTATGTGGAATATCTAGAAATGGGTGAGTTTTTCGTTTTATTCAGATAAATATAGATGGGCCATTAATTGCTTATTGGTTTCTCTTTCCGCAGTTGTTCAGTTTGGATTCATTACCCTGTTCAGCTTGGCCTTCCCGCTGGCCCCGCTGCTGGCACTGATTAACAATGTGGTCGAGGTGCGCCTGGATGCCATTAAAATGCTACGCTTCCTGCGCCGGCCGGTGGGGATGAGAGCCCACGACATTGGCGTCTGGCATAATATCATGACCGTGGTCACCCGAATAGCCGTGGCATCGAGCGTGAGTCTAAAAGAATTTTCTAATTATCGCAGTTCCTAATATTATCTTTTCCGGCACAGGCAATGATAATCGCATTTAGCTCTAATCTAATACCCAAAATTGTGTATGCTGCCTCCATGGGTGACCCAGAGCTGAACAACTATTTGAACTTCACCCTAGCTGTGTTCAACACCAAAGACTTCCAGGTGGAGCCGCTTCTGGGTGGCAGTCAGTATGTGAATGAGACGGTGTGCCGATACACAGAGTTCCGAAACCCGCCGTGGCATCCGCAGCCCTACAAGCGTCCCATGATTTACTGGAAAATACTGACTGGTCGGCTAGCCTTTATTGTTATATACCAGGTATGTGTATGCTTTGTCTTTATAATGAATTTATTCTAAATTGAATTCATCCTTGGCAGAACATCATCACCATGCTGCAGGGCATCCTGCGTTGGGCCGTTCCGGATGTCTCCGGACGCCTGCTGAAGCGTATCAAACGTGAAAACTTTTTGCTACGCGAACACATCATTGAGTACGAGAGGCAGCAGGTTCATATCCAAGCAGGGACGACAACAACGACACCGTCCCAGCTGAAGGCAGAGGAAAGCGCTGGTCTCCGTCAGCGACAACGTGAGTCCGATGACAACAACACCAACACATCTTTCGTATAGGAGGAGGGAGCCACTTGTTTTGTTCCTTGGCTCCTTCTGCTCCTGCATGCCATGTTATCGCATTACCGTGCTTCTCTGTTTCGTACTTAACATGTTTCGTGTGTGTCCTGAATGGGGAAATGCTCAACGAATATAAGAGGTAACTTGCGTCGTATTGAAGCCCTCGAAGTCAAGCAATTGCATTTTTTTAGACATTACATACACACAGAAAGAAAGGTTTTATATTGTTATGAGATGCAGGCAGGAGGATCGAATCATTGGCATCCCCGTTAGCATCGCTTTAACAGCACCCCGAATATACAGTTATAGATATATGTATCATATGTATTTGAATATTTTTACACGTCCAAAGTGCATTAAAATGAAAAGGGAAAACAACGAGTATTTATAATTTGTAAAACGGAATTGTTGGTAGCTATATATAATATATATATACATACATATTTATATGTACGATTATGAACAAAGCTAACAACACATAACACTAAGAAACAATCCAATATGTACCTTACAAACTGTTACCCACACAACCGAAAAGCGATACACACATATGTACAAGCAGCAGCTAGCTCTCCTTCAAATCCTTTGTTTTCCTATTATTATTGTTGATTATTGCCCAGCGAGAGAGCAAGCGCAGTATTTTTTTGAACAATTCGTAATGCTACTTACATGTACATACAGTGAATTGTTGTTTTGATAAAATATATTTATACGATAACAATGAGGACTACGATTACGATAGTGATTAAGGATAAGGGAAACGAATTGTGTTGTGTACGCTGCCTGTGTCTGTATGTGAATTATTTAATAAATAAAGGATTGAGCTCCATTAATGTCAAAAAGTAATATGTAATTTAAAGGTCTAAGTCTATTGTGGAGGATAGAAAACAACTATTCCTGAGTAGCATCATTAGCCAAGTTGATTTGGAGCCTATTTCTCGGTGCAGATAGCTTTCTGTTCCAAAAAGAAAAGAAATTTCAATGTATATAATTAATTTTCTTTAATATCTTGAAAAAATCTTTGGTCTCTGGATATAACATACGAGGTCATCCGTTTCGATGTTTTCATTCAATCAAAATTGATGAATTTAAAAGAAAAATTTCGTATTTCGAGAGGAAAGAGAACCGGATGCACTTGACGTTATATAATGAGCTCTATTGGAAGGCGTTGAAGCAAATCAATTGGAACGCTGACCAGCAGAAGCTTGACTGGACAAGACGCACACTCAATTGACAGCGACACCACCACCAAGCTGTGCTACCTAATATGCACGTATGTATACTTATAAATATAATAATGAGTGCTAAGCACAGTGGTCTAAATGAGAGGGTTAAGATAAAGATATAGGTATAAGTAAGATGGTTTTCAAATATCTCTTTAAACGTTGCTGAAAAGTATGCTATCAAATATGTTTCACTTTGGTTTGATCACATCTTCATTGACTTTATTTATTTATTCTTGCTAAATTACATAAAATCTTAATTTAAAATGGGATTTTTAACTATAGAAAGTCTGTTATAAAATATAGATTTTAAGGTGTCATTTGTAGAATCCAAAAAACACTCTGGTCCCAGTGTATCGACCTCGGACTGAGCTAATGCAATTTGATGTATAACGAAATCGCTCCCCAAGAGAGCTGGCAATTGTCTTTGGTTGTGGATGTGTGGTGTCTTCCAGCTTGAGATGCTCGTGGCACTGAGCTTAGTTTCAAATCTGTCGCTTCCAACGCTTGCAGGTGGAGTCCCTCTATCAAATCCAGATTAGTGTCGACTCAAACGAAATGAATACGGTGGGTATATACAGAACGAAAAGGTATTAGCAAGGTTGATGGAGAAGATTTTAGGCTTATATTGCTTGAGAGATGTAGAAGAACCAAGTTACATTATATTTTAAAAGATATAATTAAAATCTTTCCCCTACTTTCAGATCAAGTACCTCAAGGAGCTGAGTGATCAGGAGCGCGAGAAGTTCTTTGATTCCTTTGACTTGGTTTTCTGCGATTGCGATGGTGAGTAAGAAGGTATATGTGGAGTAAGCTTCTCTAATCCATTCCTCTGTGTTCCTGAAACAGGTGTCATTTGGTATCCCCTGAGGGACTTCATACCCGGCTCAGCGGAGGCCCTGGCCCACTTGGAGTCTCGCGGCAAACAGGTGACCTTTGTGACCAACAACAGTATCAGTTCTATGAAGGAGCACATCGAGAAGTTTGCTCAACAGGGAAATCTAAAGATTAAAGAGGTGAGTCTTAATTATTCCTGACTTTAAAAATTCAACCTTTAATTTCCTACTTTCCAGCACCAAATTGTGCATCCTGCCCAAACTATTTGCGATCATCTAAAGTCCATTAATTTCGAGGGACTGATTTACTGCCTGGCCACGCCGCCCTTCAGGCAAGTCCTTAAGGACGCCGGCTTTCAGCTGACTGAAGAGGTAAGTGATAAGGATTAACTGCAAGCTTCATTGACCATTTCAAAGGGCTTCCTAATAGAGTGGCACTGGCATCATCAAAAGCCTCAAGGATCTTCACGAAGCCATCTATGGCGGAGAGTCCGTAGAAGCTGTCATCATCGATGTGGACTTTAATCTATCGGCAGCCAAGATGATGCGTGCCCATGTCCAGCTGCAGAATCCCAATTGCCTGTTTCTGGCTGGAGCTGCCGATGCCCTGATACCCTTTGGTCATGGTGATATTATAGGTAAGTCATACCCCCTAAGCGGCTGGAGATTTATTTAGATTACGCTCAAAATCAGGACCAGGACCTTTTATTGATGTGGTGACCCAATCCGTTGGCCGTCAGCCAATTACTTTGGGCAAGCCAGGAGAGGATCTTCGCCAGTTGCTCCTGCAACGTCATCCGGATGTGCCGCCGAGTCGTGTTCTCTTTGTGGGTGATAGCCTGGCCAGTGATATTGGATTTGCTCAAGCCAGTGGCTACCAGACCCTGCTGGTCCTCACCGGTGGCACGCGGCTGGAGGATGTACAGCGACTATCCCCTGGTCATGCCCAGGTGCCAGACTATTTGGCCGATTGCCTTGGGGATATATGTAGAGCTGATAATCGTTGAAGTGAAGTGTTTGTGGCTGATAACTCTCTGGCTCTATTTTGTTTGTATTACTTATATAATCATCGTGACATTATCGTCTATAAACAAATAACAACATAGATTAAATTTTAGCTTTTGTAGAGCCCTAGATCCTGCAGTTGGAATCAAGTTTTAATAACTATTATCTATACTTGTTCACTTTAAATATTATATTTCAGCTTCACATTATAATTTAAACTTGAATTTATTCCAAACGTTTCCCTTAACCATAACCAGACCCCTCCTAGGCTTTCTATTTATCTTCTTTCTTTGGCTAGACATGCGCTTTAGGTGCTTCGCCCAGCATCACGGCCAAGTCAGCCACACTATCCGCATAGTAGTCCGGAATACGGCTGGGATCCGTCTCGGCCTGCAGCTGCTCCAGGGTACAGCCGCCGCTGAGGACGAGCAGCGTCTGGAAGCCAAATTCACGGCCAAAGCCCACGTCCTGGGCCAACATGTCTCCGATCATTAGAACGCGACTGGGTTGGCTTATGGCATAGTGCTGGACCAGCAGCTCGCCCAGCTGGCGGCCTGGCTTGCCCAGGGTAAGCGGCGTCTTGCCGCTGGCCTCCACCAGGATGGAGTTGAAGGGTCCTGGTCCGATTATGTTCACATTCTTGGCCACAGGCAGGAGGCGATCGGTGGCACCGACCAGTAGCAGGCACTCGGGACGCCGCAGATACATGTGGGCACGCAGCATTTTCGGGGAGCTCAGGTTGAAGTCCACATCGATAACGACGGCACGCACTGGTTCCCGGTCAAAGATGTGCTTGGCCATGCTCTCCAGGGATTCTTCAATGAACTCGTTGGGCTGCGGAAATTCGGATATAAAGAATATACAAATAATTCCAATCCTCTGTCCTCCATTACACTTACCCCATCAAGTAGCTTGAAGCCCGCTTCTCGCAACACCGCCTTGAATGGCTGACTGGCAATGATGTAGATCAGGCCCTCGAACTTAATCCCCTGGAGGTACTCCACAATGCTCTGTGCTGGATGCCAGATCTGCTCCGGCTTCACCTGTAGTCCAATCTTGGCAAAGCGCCGAACGCATTGATCCATAGTCCGAACACTGTTGTTGGTGACAAAGGTCAGTTGCTTGCCAATCCGCTCGAGGGCCATATAACCGTCGGCGGCATGAGGAACCATGTGCTCCAAGCCCCAGGCAACGCCATCAATGTCACTGAACACACGATCGAAGGAGTCGCAAAAGCTGCGGCGCTCCTCCTCAGTCAGATGCAGAATGTGCTTGGGTTTGGTCTAAAAATTAAATGAAATATATTAATTACTTGGTCTCTTGAACAAGATTTTTAAATATTATGATGGCAAAGAAAATACACATCAGAATGAGAAGAGATTAAGCATTTAAATTTAAATAATTTAATTTTTTATTGAATTTTGTTAACCTTTTAATGATGATAATTTATACGAATGCAGGGTATTATGTTTTTAGTCAGGGGCTTAAAACTAAGTGAAGGAATCATTTCCGACCCTATAAATCATATATAATCTTGATCAGCATCAACAGCCGAGTAAATTTAGCCATGTTTCGAAGAAAAAAAAATTTTTTTAATTTTTTTTAAATTTTATAAGGGGTTACATCGTTAAAATGTTCAAAAATTGACAAAAATTTGAAATTGTTTTAAATGTTAAATAAAGTATACAGATTAATCAACCTGAAAAAAACTAGCACTGAACAGCTTTCCGAATTGAAATTGATGCATTTTTAGCAAAGTTATGATAGTTTTTCCGTTCGAATAATTCAATTTTAAGCTGCATGGGTATATTATGTATTTCGACATCCCCGAGTGTGCTTCTTTGCTCGTTTTTCTTTTTATTATTATCCATATTTAATTATTTTGTAATAAGAAAATAATGGATATCTAAATTTATCTAAATTTATGCCTGCAAGTAGACCTAAAATATGCAATTCTAGAGACTTTAAATATAATTTTCAATATTTTATATGATGAGAAACTGAGACTGTCAATTTTAAAATCAGGCGGAATTCGTTGTTGGCTGAGAAGTGATATCATCAAAACTATTGAGTCAATTTTTACGAGTTCTAGTTGACTCATAATGTTTAGAAAATATTTTATATGCCGGACTGCCCCCTCTTTTTTAACGCTTTGCCACATTGACAAACAACAAATACAAAAAGAATGTAATAAACTTTAAGCTTTTCATTACAAGAAAGTCATATATACAAAAATAATTTATGTGTGTTTCCATTAACATGATAATTTAATGCTTGGATTTCATAAGAAATAATCAAAGTTTGTTTTTGTATAGAAAAATCAATTTCAAATCGATTAACAAATAACGATTACTTCCATTTATTTCTGATTTATACAGATTTAATTATCAGTAGAAAAGGTAGAGCACTAAATACCTTAATTACATTCCATATCGTATATGGATCCAAATATTATAATGGAATGTTTATAGAAGGTATAGGTGTGGATGCAGGGGTGTGCTTGAATTCTATGGAAGAGTTCGAAGACTCCGATTAGATTGCTTACCCTGCTGCTGCTGCTACCGGCCTCCATACTGCTCCTAAGATAAGATCTACCGATCTGCTGCGCGCAAAGAAAGGTGTAGTTATTGGGGGGCTACCCGCTAAATGAGCTGACGAAACTAAACTAAAAACACAAGCCTGATGCGGCGAGACCGTAACCGAATTCCGAACCCGACACTGAATTAGCACCTCAAAGCGGGGCGGGGCGGCGCAGATCCCCCCTCAAACAGGAACAACAATGCTGGCGGAGAATCAAAACAAAAGCAGGCGGAAAACAATCGCAAGAGAACACCGAACAGAACACTTTCCGGCTTATCGCTTATCGCTCGCTGTTTGACTCTCTCTCATTTTCTAATTCTCTTTCTCGCATTTTTTCCCTGCATTCTTTTTACACTAGAAAAAATTACCATAACTGTACAATCAACACTCTTATAATAACGAGACTAGAGATTTGTAGAGCTTAAAAATTTCATGAACTATAAAACATCTAAACCAAATTGATTATTTTATATTATAGGCAAATACTATAAAAAAAAATTACTCTAAACCTTCCTCATGTGTTAATACAAGTTAAACAACAAGTTTTCTTTTTGCTCAGTGCAAAACCAGCAAATGAGTGGAAGCTTTTCCAATTGTCTTCCAATAACCATTCCATGTGTCAACTGATCGAGTTTAAAAAGCTGATGGTGGCTAAATTGCATACTATTTTCGCTCTATGTTTAGCTACATAACTAAATATAAAGGTTTTATTTAATTTCCGAAATCATATTGAGTTATTTTCTTTAAAAGCTTAAAATTAACGCGGTCTTCTTTACAGCGCTGCCAGATTATTTCTATTAAAATCCCAACTTTTAGCATTGTCAAGCCAACTGTTTGAGATTTTTTAGTGCAAAAGCCTAATTTCCATCTGGCAACATTGGCGAGTGCGAAAATGCGTTGCAGTAAGCTTTAAACAAAGTGGAAAACACGCCCCGGATCGATAAATGGGCGCCGAGCATTCCCAGCAGCGGGCTGAGGCCGATGGCCACGAGATCTTCGAGGGACGCAATCCGCCTGGAGCGGATGGCCTTGCCGCTGATGGCAGCTCGATGGCCCTGGCGGCCGCTGCAGCAACGGCCGCAGCCAACAAGCGCCGTGGAGTGGGTCACCGTCAGCAGCAGCACCAGCAGCCGCATCAGATGATGCCCAGCGGGATTGGTGGTGGCCCAGCTAGCATTGTGATAGCCAGCAAGCAGATCATAGCTGAAGCAGCCTCGCCTGGCGGCTCCGAGCTGAGCAGACCGCCGTCACCCCCGCTAAGCGTTTGCTCCGACCTGCCGTACGTCTCCTACACGGACCGACCCATCGGCGACTCGCCCAAGATACGCAGCAAGCCGGCGCATATGCTGCAGCAGAGCAGTGCCAGCCGGGCGGCGGCCCGCAAGTCACATCCGGGCGGATTCACCACCACCGTGAAACCGAAGCGGCCACAGTCGACGGCCTCAAGCCACAACATTGTGATTGTGCGTCCGGGAGCCACCGATGCTGGCGAGGATGTGGACACAGACTTGGCCCGGCTACGTAACATTCCGCAATTCCTGCCCGTACTGCGCGAGTCGATCACCTCGGCCACGTACACACGTGATGCCGAGATACTCGAGCGCCTGCACTCGCAGCACCTCATCAACATATGCACCCGCATGCAGACGCACCTGAATCTGTGCGCCAGCTACGTGGCCAGCGAACAAAATCACTTGGTGGAGCGCACCAAGGTGGTAAGCAACTCAATAACAACGCTTTTCGCCGGCTTCGTTGACATGCAGAAGACATACGCCTCGTATGCCGAACAGTTTGCCAAGATACGCGGTGTCTCCCATCAGCTGAGCCGCTGTAACTCGCTGCTGCACGAGAATATCGCAAGTCTGGAGGCCATAAATAACTTCCTGGACGACGAGGATCGTTTGGAGCCGTTTATCTGGCGAACCGATGACAACAAGCTGCGTGGCGAGGCGGAGGGCGCCACCGGTGGCAACAGCAGTCGCCTGTGGCGTCTGTAGGGCATCCTCCAGGATTATGGAGGATGAGCCGTCTCCAAAGATTTTCTTAGTCCGTAATCCTTCGTGTATTTATTATTGTGTATAATATTCGTGTTAACAATGCCACTTAATCGTGATTTTTAATTAGTAAATCCTACTTAATATTATATTATGGAAGCTAAAACGTTGTTTTTTCGACATATCGGTCTTTTCCTATGAAAGTTGTTTTTGAAAGTGCGTTATATCTCAACTTGGAACCTGAAACCGCAGACCAACAAATTAGATAATAAACAGAGTTATCTGTTGAGAAACAGGAAATGCGGTTTCTTAGACTCAAAGCCGTCAAGTCCTCTGGTTGCCAACGCCACTATACACATACATATAATTCAGTGAAATCTCCGACCATGTTTAACAAATAGACAGCACCAAAAGCACATTTATTACACCTTACAACAAAATCCTTCTAGATCTTAAAGTCAAGTCTAGCTACGGGGAGGGTTGAATATGGCATACAGGATATTTATACTTACTAGAGACTATGGACAACACATATTCATCTATGTTTGTTTCTGTTTTGGTTAACGCTACGTGAACAACATCTTACATTTAATATACACACATACAACTGATTAGTATGGAGGCATCCAGCCCCTATCTTCTACTACTTAGACTATGACGACTCGGGATGAGTGATTTATTTGTTCGAGGGAAAACCGTTGCGCAGAATGATGAGTAGTGTTCCGAAATGCATCTCTCACAGTGTAATGAAGGCGGCGATGGAACAATTGCCTGCCGTTAGTTGATTGTTTTTGTCACCAGCAGGCCCGTCGTCGTCGTTGCATCGCTCGCACCAGCTTTCTGAGTGTCCAGCCGCAGAGAATGAGATTAGCCAATGAGCAGAGTAGCACCAGGCAATGGGCCAGGGTGACGGCCAGCGACAGGAGTGGGGGCAGAGACAGGTACTGCTAGCGCTGCAGGTAGCTGCTCCAATATACCAGCAGCATGAGCAGGACGTTGACGGAACTTATGTTCTAGAACAGCTTCTGCATGTGGATGCGGTCCTGGACGTTGCGGGCATGCTGCTGTTCCTCAATCAGCTTCAACTCCTTGGCCACTGTCGCCTTCAGTGTGGCGTCCAGGGCCAAAGCGTCGATAAAGTCACGTCGCGCCTGCATCGGATTCCACGCCCCAGCATGGGCCTTGGCTCGTCGAAACAAAGCCTTGACGTTGCGCGGATCCAGATTGAGAACCTCGTTGCAGTGTTCGATTACGGCATAGAAGTCTCCGGCAATCAGCCTACACTGCGCGTAGTTCAGCAACAGCGGCGTCTTAATGGCCGCCAGCTCCTGCCACTCGTCGTCGTGTGGCTTCTCCTTGAGCATTAGCTGTTCGACAAGACCCACTGCCTCGCGATAGCATGTCTCTGCCTCCGAGAACCGTCTGGCCTTGTAAAAGTTATTACCACGCTCACGTAGAGTGCTTGTGGCCAGCATCTTCTCATCGTCGGACATCTGCCAGCGTTCCTTCTCATACTGCTCGGGCAGTTCGATGGATGTCAGCTCGATGATAAACTCCAGCTCGGCGGGATTTTGCAGCAGCTCGTCCAGATCAGGATAGCCGATGCCCTCATTCTGCAAGGTCATGCCGCAGCAGTGACGCCGCTCCTCGGGCTTCTTGCCGATATCCCGCAGTGTCTTCGATATGAACGGATACTGGGCGCAGAGCTGTGAAATGTCCGGAAAATTGGGTCAATCAAACACCCCTGTGGCCTGTGACGTCCAAGCATACACTCACCGACTTGTGCACGGTGAATTTGGCCACCTCGTTGAGCGACATCTGCTGCACTATCACCTCCCAGACCTCCAGCTTGAACTTCTTGCCCAGCACCAACTCCATGGGCTTCCCCATTTTGCGGCTGTCGTCAATGATGCGGCTGTTTCCGGCCCTGCGCGTCTGAAAGTGGAACTTCACCTGGAAGACAAACCAGAAGAAACCAGAGTGCGGCAATTAGTCCACCACCACCCAACTCGCCCACTCGGATGGCCTTGGCCTGGTTCCACTGTCCCTGCTGCAGATGTTGCGGTTTGGGTCTCTTCGGGTTTCCCTGCGGATGCAACAGCTGCACCTGCAGGCACTTACCCGGGTGCCAGGCTTCAGCTCGATGTAGGCATTGCCCGGATTCAGGATCTCCTTGCGTATGGGCTTCATCTCGGACTTAGTTTGGTCCTGCATTGCGGCTGACAATTAAATAAAAACGCAACAAAGAATAGAACTTCCTCCGCCGAGCAAATGAAAACGATTGTGTTGCCAGTATGTCGGTCGGCCAGTGATGCCAGATGCTTGGATTTGTGAAAGCTACAAACCAAATATACCAAATTGTCTATGCCTGTCTAGTTGAAAATACTGAAAACTTTCTAGACGTTATTTCAAATAATAATTAAGCAGGTTTTGTTATTGCCTTATAAAAAAGAATTTAAATATAATGATACAGAAGTCTAACTAAGAAATATCTTGGTAATAAACTAATAAACAATTCAAAATTCTAAACAGACATTACTTAAATGAAAAAAGTTAATAAATAATATTAGAAACTCTTGCCGTATTCGAAACTTTTGCTTAATAAAATTGAATATAGTTAAAATATATATTTCACGACATCCTAAATCTCCTATTAATTGTTCCCAGCTTTTGAAATTAAAACAAAATTCCTTTGGAGAATACTCTTCAGATAATTTTAATGCAGGTATCAATATGTATGTATTTATTTAACATTTAGTGGCGTACGCAGAAGGCGATTAGAGGGGGTTTGAGCAGAGAATCGTTAAGTTTGCTTATATCCTTTTAAAAGTTATCGTAGTTAGTTATTATTAAAGTACTTACAGGCCACCACCTCCCCTCAAATCGCCGCCTGCGCACATCATTAACACCATTTAACATTATTTGTACAATCTTATGTATTTTCCGGGTTTCTATATCCACTTTTTTGCAGAATGTTTTGCTAAATACGCAGGGACTAAAAACTATTAAACTGATTTTGTATCTTGACTAGCTTTTAGTTATTCTTGCTTTTTGTAAACAGCATAAAATGTAACTCTCTTAATTCCTATGTATTTGTAACTAAATCAACTAAATTATTGCACATTTTTTTGTTGATTCTTATTTGGTTTTTTTGTTTTGAATAGGATTAGAACATATGTAGATAGTTTCCTTGCTAGGTGTTTGTAAAATATTACTGCTGTTTGATGTCTCGAATGATATGTACGCTACGCTTTTTTCTCTTTTTTTTTACTAATTATTAATTGTTTTTGCCCGAAGTACTCATGGAGTAAAATTTTGCCATAATTCACATTGTTTTATACACATAAGCAGTGATGGGAGTTGGATTTTCTTTTAGGTACAGAGGCAACAAATAATAATATTAAGCTCTTTTTCATTGAAAACATATGTTAATTTAGATATTGACAATTATTAGCACGTTAAGTTAAGGCTTAAGAAAGCATCTGAAATTCCGAAAAATTCCTCAAGCCTATTAAGAACTGATATAGTAATATATATAGGGCTTGAGAAATCCTTTCCTTCTTTTGATGATGGATTTGATCATTGAATAATAGAGTGAAAGCGGTCAATATTTGGATATAGTGTGGGTTGAGAGCACTAACTTTGGTGAACAAGTCAGTTACTTAGTTTTTAGTGAGCTTTTCGAGTTGTTTACTCAATTGTTCACTCAGTTGGTCACTCAGTTGATCATTCTGTTGCTCCCTCTGTGTCTCACTTAATTTTGCCCTATCGAGCAATTGAGCAACGATACAACTTAAAAGTGAGTGAGGAACTCTGAAGGTAAGCAAGTGAGTGAACAAGTGAACTATTTACTACTACTCCCATCACTACATATGTATATGTACATTTATATATATGTGGTTTTTAGTGCGCTTTGTGTGTATGTGTCTAGAAAGGCTACAAAGGATTAGAGGATCAGTATCGTTCGTTTCAAAATAGTAGGGCTCCCACAACGTTAAGCGCCTGATGGTTGCTGTGTTGCTGTTGCTTTTGTTGTTGTTGTTGCTGCTGCTGTTGCTTTTGTTGTTGATGTTGTTGTTGGTGTGTGTGATACATGCTTTTTGTTGTTGTTGGCGACTTGAGTTCTTCCACAATAATGGCACCGTGCTCATCCACCGTGTGATTTAAGAGTAAATTCTCAACCTGCTCATCGGACAGCAGCTCTTTAGGCTCTGAAGATCTGTAAATTGTGTGTTGATCATTATTAAATATTTATGAATCAGAAACTGTAATCACATTTGAACAGGACACGACAGATAACCGATATATATATATGTATATATATATGTATATGAGCAAAAGCGATTGATAAAGCAATGGGCACAATTACAAACGAACTATTGTGATAAAAACCATTGAGTTTTTGTAAATAAGCCATTTAAATAAGGGACTTGGTACTCAGATATTTACCTTTAAGCGTTCATTATTCATTAAAATTGACTAATAAGATTAATAATGGTAATAATATAAATATCCGAGTACATTTTGTTTTTAAAGGAAAAGATTTTAAAATTATTACACATACACTCATATCAAAATAGATACTTGGATTAGCTTCGGAGGCCGAAGCTGGAATACCCTTGTAGATCAGTTAAATTTTTAAAAGTTCGCCATAATATCTCATCTTCAAAAATGTGGTTCAAAAGCATATAAAATATTTGTCAGTCCAAAAAAGTGAACAACGTCAACAGCAAAGTTAACAAAAAAGAATAAGTTTTACAAGTTTATCAATAGAAGGAAGTGAATACAAGTGCACAACAAAAGAGATTACAGAAAGTGAAGACTGGAGAACAATAATATAATATATATAATATAAAATCTAACTGGCTAAAACAGACGGACAACATGTCTATTAATTGGTTTATGGTCTTAGATTTCTTAAAGCTTGAAAAACTTATAAGAATATCTTGCTTTTAATCGTATATTTTAAAATCGCCTTGAAAAATCCGAAGGGGTATTATCTAGATTTGAATTATCAAAACACACACAGAGGTCGCATTCAATTTTGAAAGGGAATGAGAGCGAAGGTGAAGGTGGACTTGGATGAGAGTGGGATAGCAATGTTGTACTAGCGAGAATAAGTATTGGTATTAAATATTAAGTAGCGGGCAAAAACAACAAACACATTGGGGGCAAAATAACAGATATATAGTTCTCGATTTTTGGATTTCGTTTTTGGCATTTTGAGCAGTACATACAGAATTTTCGTTTTTTTGATTGTGGTTTTTTTAAGCGAGTGTGCGGTTCGTGCTGTAATGGTTGTTGTTGTAATTGCTGTTGTTGCAGTAGTTGTTGTTGTTATTGTTGTTCTTGCAGTTAGTAGAATATATATACTATATGTATATATATATATTTCTTTTGTTATAATGTGAGAATATTGAAAGTAGCAAAAGCAGAGACCAAATCAAAGCAGCCAATTTTTGATATCAAATAGAATTATTAAAATTTTGCAGTTATTTGTTGCTGTTGTAGGTTGTTGTTGATGTTGTAGGTTGTTGTTATTGTTGGTTGGTGGATAGATGAGTGCGTTTTTAGAGTTTTTTTTTTAGTTTTGCGCTGGATCTAAATTCAAGAGTCGCAGAGTTTTCGGGGGTTTCGGATTCGGATTCGGTTTCGGATTCAAATGAGCTTGGTCAGGCGGCTCTGCAGAGAATTGAGCAGGCTGCGACCTCCGCCGCCACTGCTGCTACTGCTACCGCTCGCCTTATCACCATCTACTGACCTGCTGAAGAGGAAAAAGTCACCGGGCCCGGAGGAGGAGGAGGCGGAGGCACTGGAGGCCGACGTCACCTCCGTGTGCGTGGTGAGCAGGGCCTCCTCCTCGGCCCCGCTGGCATTATCGCCGGCCATCTCCGATTCACTGTTGCGTCGCTCCAGGCTGCGTCCCACCTTCTGGAAGCCGTAGCTGAACACATCCTTCACCTTGTCCCCGGCATCGATTAGCAGATCCAGGCTCTGCCGTCGGCCACTGCCCTTGAAGCTGTTCGAGCGGGACAGCCACTGGCTGAGGCTTTGCTTACGGCTCATCTGTTGGCCACCGCTGCCGGCCCCACTGGAAGCGCTACTGTCGTCCTGGAATATCGTCGTGCAGGTAACTTTGCGCTTTGGTTCGTCCGACGACGAGGTCGAGTGCTGCGACTGGGCATCGGCGTCCAGCTGGTTCCGTCCCAGGCCCAGCCCCAGGCCACCGCCAGCACTGCCCGCACTCTCCAGGCCATGTTGCTCCAGCAGCGACTGGTTCGAGTAGCTGGAGCTAGTGCTATCCGAATGCGACAGCCGGATTTCCGTCCACTGCTCGATGTCATTGTCCGCCGGTGCTCCAGCGGCGGAGGCAAAGGCAGAGGAGGCCGATACGGAGGCGGATGCGGAGGCAGATGCAGAAGCGGACCCAGACCCCAATGAGCCGCCGCTGCCCGACTTCAGGTCGTACGGAGCATGCAGTCCCAGTGGCCCCAATCCGGACTCCCCATCCGCGGCACTGGTGCTGGCCGACTTGTGCATGCCACCGGCCAGCTTTTGCGGGAAGGTGAGCACAGCCTCAAAATCGGTAAGCAGGTGCGGACACTCATGACCCAGCCGCTCGGGCATCTGCAGGTACTGCTCCTCGGGCCCCAGTTCTTCTGGCTCCATCTCCGGCTGCTGCTGCTTCGGCGCCACCTCGCCCGCTGTCAGAGCATCCACAGCGTCCACCTGGCGCAGCATGGCCTCGTAGTTGAGTAGATTGTTGCGCTGCTGCCGCTGCCGGTGAATATCCTCGGAGATTTGCTCTAAATTCTTTAGTGCCTCGTTGTAAGTGAGCTTCGCTGCACTGACCTTTGCCTCCAGCTCGTTCACCCGCGTCTTCTGGGCTTTTAGCAGTCCATTGTAGTTAGCCCGCGTCTCGTAGTACGGCCTGTGGTATCGATAGGGGGATTCCCCCGGATTAGTGCTCTGCACAGGTGGCATTAACACAGTGAGCGATACTCACGAACAGAGGGTACAATACAAGGCGTGCATAATGCTAAAATATCTCAACAAAAGTAAATTGCGCTTGAGCTGCAATCTATAAAAAGAAGAAAAGAAAGAAAACGGAAAAGAAAAGAAGAGCCGAAAATATATAAATATAAGTATTTAAAAAGCATTTACAAATCAGGATAAAATAAGAAAACTTAAAAGTTAATTATCAAATGAAAGCCGGAACGGGGGAAAACGTAACTTCGGCTCAAATCCGAAGGGATATAGTAATATAGTTAAGCTTAAGTTTAAAGTTAAAGTTAATACGATTTCCTTTGAGTCTGTAGAGGGGAATTTCCTCTTGGCGTTGTTAATTAAGGGAAAAACTATCCTTTTTAATATATAAATTCAAATATTGTACCCAAATAACATAATCTTAGATATATATATTGAAAAATAAGGAAGTTATATAAATCATTAATGATGAATGATGTTTTGAATACTCTGGAATGCAGTTTTGTATGCAGACAGACTGACTCAGACGAACAATTGACTAGCTTTAATCGAAACCTATTTCTCCTTAATTAAATAAGTACACTAACATTATCTTCCTGCTTGGATTCCCCAAAAATATATTCTTCGATCTCGTTCATTAATATACCTGGAGGCACGGAGCGCCTGCTTAAGCTGTCCCTGCAGCTTGCCGACCCGATTATTGGCCACCTCGAGCTTCAGCTGGCACATCTTGAGAGCGTTGCGGGTATCGGTGACCTCCAGCTGGGACTGGTTCACCTTGCTGGCGGCATGGCTGAGCATCTCCTGGCAGGCGGTGTCCAGTGTGGATTTCTCGCCGAGACCCTGCTCGGCCAGATAGACCATCTCCTTGGCGGCGGCATGGATGGACTTGGCCTTCTCATGGTTGGCGGCTGCCTGCTGTGTCTCCTTGGCCAGTTGGGCGGCATAGATGCGGGACTCGTAATAGGGCTTGGCGGCATCTATCGAGTTGCCAAGCTTATGGGCAGCAGTCTTGATCCGCACCACACTCTCCGCGAGCAGACGTTTGAATTCACACTTGGCCTCCTTGGGAAATTGAAAACATTTTGGGGATAAATCGGGTCAGAGGGTTCACTTATTTCTTTCTTTTTTGTTTTGGGGGGAAAAATCAATAACTGGCACTCACATCGAGCTCCACCTCGTAGCGATTGATGTTGTCAGTGGCCGAGTTCAGCTTCTCCAGCTCGATCTGGGCAGGACAGTAGCAGGATAAGTTGTCAGTCGTGGATGTGTGGGAAGCAGCTTACCTGGACCCTCGGATCCACGGGTGTGTTGCTCTCCGTCGACATCGCTACTGCTGCTGCTGCTGCTTCCGTTGCTTCTTGTGTTTTCTGTGCTTTCACTCTAATTTCACTGCCTTCCGGACGACGGGCGGCGGACGCACTGCAGCCAAGGTTGCCTGGTTATAGTTGCTGCTTCTACGCTCTGTCAGTTGCGGCTGGCAATTTGTTTTTATTAAAGAATCCACGGCGAATCAATTGCTCCCACGGAGCTGCTGCTGCTGGAGCTTTTGCAACAACAAATGCGTACACATAACTATGACAACACGACCGACCGACGCACGCAGCTTTTTGCTAGCAGAAAAGCCCAGCGAAAGACAGCTGGGCGAAGACATCAAGCACCAACAGCGGCCAAGGTGACCATCTGATGGGGTGGCAGCCAGTGGGCCGTCGGCGGGGAACACCACCTACGCACAGCTTTCGAAGCCCTCGAAAAGCTAGCAGCCCCCAATTGTTGGGCAGCATTGAGAGTGGTGCTTTTATCGATTATTAATTAGATAGAAAAATTCGTTATTTTAATTACCGCGCTATTAATTTATTTGAAAAAGCCAGATTTAACGGGGTAATAAAATCCCTGTCCATACTTCGTTATCGATAAAAAGCTGGCAGCTTTCGGACATTCTGGCATCACAAACATAGCTTTTTAAGAGTTGGCAGCTCTTCTGGCACTGGCTGGACAATAGGGATGTCGGATATTCAAAAAATATCGTATCGAGAATACTAGCCCATACATCTGTAAAAGTGTAAAACTGTTATCTAGACGTATAAGATGTAGCATTTTATATAACAGTTAGTTTTTCAAAACATTGATACCATCATTGATAGTATTAAAATATAGAAGAAATACAAATAGCGCCACATCGATATTTGGGCAAAAAAAATATCGCGATATAAGTCTATCGATATATTGATGTTTTGATATATTCAACAACCCTACCGAAAAGCCAAACAAACCGAAAGAAAGCAGAAGTGAAGTTGTTGTCGCGTCGGAAAGGTGTTAAGAAACCGAAAGAAAAAAAACGCGAAGCGAAGCGCAGTCCGGTTGTTATAATTTTTTTTCGGTGCCACCCAGTTTTGTTTTGATTTTATAATATATTAAAGAAAGAGATTTCTGTGCTCGTCGCTGTCGTTTCTGCCGTTACCCGTTTGTTTTCCTTTTTCGATTTGCGAAATGCGCGCGCGCAATTAAAGAAAAGCCGAGGAGACGGAGGCGACTCCAGTAAATGAAAACGTAAAGAAATAAAGATTTTCCCTCTAAAGTGCAGTGGCAGTCGAAGAAAGCGAATGTGTGCTGGCCGCTGTCGCTGCTTACAGTTATTGTTGTTCTGGGCCATGTTGTTGCGGCTGCTGCTGCTGACTTTATCTGCATTGTCTGCGTCTTAACTCGTTTTTCGGTTCTTTCCTCCGCGCTCTTCGTGCGTGCCTCTGTGTCTGTGTGTGTGTGTGTTAGTGTTGTCTATAGATGCGCTTAGACGACGTTTGCCTTTGGCTTTGCTTCTCGTCTCCTCTTGACTCTTTGCCACACGCCTTTTTTTTGAGTTTTTTTTTCTGTTGTTGTTTTCGTTTTTGGCTTTGCAACAGCCGCAACAACAACAAGCTGCCGCAGAAAATCAATAACGGGATTGGCAGCCGTTTCGCAGTTGCTTCCTCCACTTCCTCAAGTTTGGAAATGTCACCTGTGTCTCTTTCTCTCTGTCCCTTCAAGTTAGATAACCGAAATAGGGGAGCAGAGGTACACAGAGAAAAGGCCCAAAAGAAACGCCAAAGAAAAGAAAACCAGTCAGCAAGTGCATGTGCATCTGTGTGTGTGAGTGTGAGTGATTGTCTGTGAGAGTGTGTGTCCGTGTGTATTGACTGCACTTGCCCCACGCGTGGTGGTGCCGCACACACAATTCTTGCTTAATCAAAAGCCAAACATTTAATTAGGGTTAACTTCGACTTCTCCGCGTTGCTCCATTCAAACTCTTCTCTTTTTCTCTCTTCCTCTCTCTCTCTGGCTGTTTGTCCTTCTATGCGGCAGTCATCTACGCATCTTGAGGCTGCAGCGGCGACAGCAGCAACAGCAACAAAAACAACAAACGCAACAAGGAAAGGAACAGGAAAAACAAACGCCTTTTCGTATTCAATCGTAAGTTCTTCTATTATTTCTCCCTTTTTTACAAGTTCAATAATTCTTGTTATTAAATAATAATTATATTATTAATAATAATATGCCACAACTGAATAATATTACCCAAATTAATCAAAATACTAATCCGAGTACTTTACGAAGATAGGAAAAAGAAAAGATACAGTTTGCATTAATTACCAAATTAATAATTACCAAACAAACTTAAATAAGTAAACAATTTACTTGCTTTGTTTAATTGTTTCTTTACTAAGTGGAATGCAGTTATTGTATTACAAAGAGCTTATTAGTTATTTAGTTTCGCCATCGCCAATTAGAAATTCTATCGGACTTGAGATCTATTTTTCCAATTTATAAACATATATTCGTTGTTGTTTATATTTTAACAAAAATTAAAAAAAAAATTAACTTGCAAAATTATTTTAACGCTCGTGTGAGATACTGCATTTTAACATAATAAATAATAATAATAATAATAATAATTCCATTTGGCATACGTGACGTATGAGTAATTTTTGCATATAAATAAGTTCTCCTTTGAATATTTATCTTATTGCCTTTAAAATAATGGTTTCTGATTTAAAATAGATTTTTTAACATACTAATGTTTTAATCTGAAGAAATTATATATTTAATTGGTCTGAAATGTGCCACAAAAATAAATAAAAAGAAATACTTAGCAGTCTCATCAGTTGGTAACACCGATTTATATTTCTTGTTCATGTTTGTCTCTGGCATTAATATTTAATATAATATTTAAATTAACCACGACTTGAACTTATCGTTCATTCATCCAGTTGCTATTTAGTATTACCCGTGCAGTCCCCACGACAATATTTTAAGGAATCCAAAGACCTTGACGTGACTTTTTGCTAAATTCATGCAGACTGAACTCATGAATCAATAATACTTTATCAATCTTCTCTACTTTATGACGTTAATGTGGGTTTAGTAATTAATAAATTTTAAAAGCGCCAACTTTTATGGTTTAATTCATTTTACAAACCTCAACATTATCATTATTATCATAAAAGAAGCTCCTAACAAGATAAGAAGTCTGTGACGAAGTCCACCTTGCCTTGCACAACATTACGCACATAATAATTTGTGACTAAGAATGGACAGTTCTCAATGGTCTTTATAGTACATAGAAGGATAAAGACACCATAATTTTGTTCAAATTTGTACAAATTATAAATCCAACCAAGACCAGTGCCTTCTATAAATACTTTTTCGTCTTAGGGCGAAACACACACACTGTGTACAGCCGCCGGTAATAGTTAATGAAAGCTGGTGCAGCTGACACATGTTTTTCAGTGTTCTCCCGCAGATTGTTTTGATTTTTATATGTATATATATATATATATATATTATCTTGTCTGTGCCTCCGCACAAATCCGAAAAAGGGAAAGAAGAGGCTGGGCAGAGAGATGGGTTTGGAGTAGCGAGACATGCGACATGTTGTCTCTGTGAAATCATGGGGCTCGTTTGATTTTGTTATTTTTAAATGGTCTTCACGGCTCCATGCCAATGATGATCTCTCGCTCTGGGAGGATGCTCCACTGGGCTTTGCCTTGCCTCAGCTTCTGCACTCTCTACGTGTTTCTCCAGTGGCCCTGTGCGCTTTAATGCCACATCGTATTGTTATTGGTAATAACACTTGGTGCATTGGCCTCCTCGACCTTCGGCGTCGCTTAAGCAATTTTCACACGAACAAAAGCCCCCGGACTCAGGCTGGTGAGGGGGCCCTTCACATGCACTTTCTGCGGCTGCTGTTGGTGTTTGTGTTGGTGTTTGTGTTGGTGTTGGTGTTGGTGTGTGCTCACAAGTGCATAAATATTTCACTTATTGTTTGCGAAAAAAGGTCGCCAAAGGCGCGTTTCTCTATAGAGTTCAAGGATACTAGTGGGTTGTATGGCCAAACATGTGCTGCTCTCACAGATTATTATAAAACAATGCAGAATTCGCAACGATTCTCAATTTAACAACAATGAATTGTAAGGTCTTAAATTGGTCAATCTTCATAGTGCTGAAACATCTAGTATTTACTGGGATATATAGTCTAAAGAGACTCACATCTTCCATATAAACATACGTATAAATATCTCTTTGTTTCATCAATTTTTGCCGGTGCAACCTCATCAGGCACACGCATATGAGCCCTATATATCCATATCATCGGCTGCATCATCTTCAGCATCTCTCTATCTCGCTCCGGCAAAGGCAAAGTGCATTCTAATGGTTCAACGAACTTTGACCACATTCTCGTAGCTGTGGCTGTTGCAGTTCTTGTTGTTGCTGCTGCTGCTGCTGCTGCTGGTGCTGGTGCTGGTGCTGGTGCGGTACGCGCTGCAAATTTACAAAAACTTGCGTTGTTTGCAACAACGACAACAGGCAGGCAAACTTACATGAAGCAACCAGCAAAGCCACACTAAAAGAAATATAGTTTACAGAACAAGTTTATAAAGATTCATTTGTATTTTTGCCTAATTGCAGGGTATTACAATTTTAGTCAGAAGCTTGTAACGCTGTGAAGCAGTCATTTCCGACCCTATAAATCATATATATTCTTGATCAGCATTTAAAGCCGAATCGATCTAGCTATCTTCGGAGGGGAAACATTTTTTTTAAATTTTTTTCAAAATTTTATAAGGGGTTACATCGTTGAAATTTGAAAAAAAATTTGAAAAAAATTTAATTGTTTACAATTTTAAATTGAGTATGCAGATTTATTAACCTTATGAAAACTAGCACAGGAAAGCTTTCCGATTTGAAATTCATGCTTGTTTGGCTGAGTTATGACCGATTTCCTTAGCAAGGGTATATAAATTTCGTATATACATTTTCTCAGTGCATCCACAACAACTTCATTATATTCATCATCGTTTGGTTTGAAAGGCAAAATGTAATTGCAACTTTTATGCTCGCTCCCCTCTCGGCTCTCCCTTGGCTGCGTCGTCATCTCAATAGCTTTATAGATAACTCCCCCTGCATTTCCCAATATCGAGGCATTTGTTTTTTTTTTTTTTGTTTTATATACATATATATATATATATATTTTTTTTTTTTTTTTCGATTATGGCGCATTCTCAGAAATCGTAATTCACTGCGGCGCCAGAGTCTAAGAATTCAACTCACTTAGCGCACAGACAAATACATGGTCAAAGCTCTTTAATTGACTTTCAACATTTTCGTTTCCAATTATTGTTTTGTTGCGGTTTAAATATATATTTTGCTCACGAGCTGTGAGCTCTGCTGGTGATTTATTTTTTATAAAAAAAAAACACAACAAAAAGAGAAACAAAAACAGAAACAGAAGCTATAACCAATAGTGATGTGTCTTGACAGATGATGATGATGATGATGGGTAAATGGAAAAGTTTGTAATTTGACAAAGAAAAGAAAATGTATTGCTTAATGAGTGGTGTCAATGCTAAAGTTTCGGGAAAGGAATGTCCAAGAAAAATACAAATTTCATTATGTAGAACTAACTATTGTTGGACTTAATCACCAGTTGTTTTGTATTTAACACCTGTTTAAAGGATAGAGTATTTGTCCTTCGCTTAACTTTTGTATGTTTTCCTACCCCATTGTTTTGTGTATCATTTGCAGCTTGAAATATACACATTTTTAGCCGCTCTCGTTGGCCAAGTGACAGTGGCCTGGGCCAGGTGACGAAGCCGTCATCGTTGCAGGGAACGTGACATGCATGCAAATTGTGCATTGACTTGGCTGCGGGGGCAACCTCAGACCCGCACAAGCTGGCGGCAGGTGATAAGGCACAAAGAGGTGGCCAAAGACTCGACTCGACTCGACTCGACTCGGCCTTCTAACCTTATGTCAGCGCGTTAAATTGCTTAACAACACGGCGACAAGTGGGGAACAAGTAGGAAGTGCCATTGAAACATTTACTCGGCGGGGGAGGTGAATAACAAAATAAAAACTTACTTGTGTTGTTAACCTTTGATTATTGCCAGAGAAAAAATGGAATGATTTTTATATTCAAATAATATCCAAGAGGATCTTAAGAGGCAAAGAATTTAATACCAAGGGGTAGTTGAAGAGCCTGTAAACAATAGTGCTTTTAATCCCTTAAAATCAGAATTCAAACTTGATTTGATATGTCTCGGTTTTAAAGTAGTATAACTCTTCTTATAGCTCTCCAAAAACCACCTCCCCAAAGGTAGCTTCCAGTCAAATCTCTGGCTTTATCTCTCACTTATGTAAGACCTCTTTTTCGCGAGTAATCGGCACTTTGTGAATGAATCTCTACCACTTCATTTGCACTCAAGTGGCGATTGGTCGGCAGATAGACAGAAGGCTTTTCTGGCATTTGAAAAATCAACAAATAGCAATTCTAATACTTCGATAAAGCTCTGAAGAGGAGAGGAGGAGAGTGAGAGATCGCACTGGATCGAGCGTTCCAAAGTTCCACACAGAAATACAGTAGAACTTCCATTAAAGTAAAATCTATTTAATAATTGAGTATAATTATAAACAGTATAGAGTATCATTACAAATATTACAGACAACCTCTTGTGGAGTCTTGTCTTCAGAAGTTGGACTGTGTATAGATAGGAGACCATGATGACAGCAGGAAGAGGGACAGCAGGGACAGCAGGGGCATCAGAGGCATCATGGACAGCTGGGGCATCAGGGGCCTGCAGCTGGGACTGTGACTCGGACTTGAGGGGGAGACAGATGCCAAACTGGTTCTCGTCGCAGTTTGCATGCCACATCCAATTGGTGGCGTATTGGGGTCGCAGTTGGCAGTTGGCGGCTCTCAGTTGCTGTTGGCGGCTAGCAGGCGTTGGCCAATTACGAGCACATATACGTTTCAATTGATTTCTAATTAACCATTTTGCATAGCTGCGTGCCGGTGTCCATGTGTGAATGTTCTCACGTGTAGCATACATACACTTGATCTGCTTCGATGCCATGTGACCCCCCTCTGTCGCCTCTGACCTGCCACGCCCTCCATGGCTGTGCGTGCCCCTTGG